TATATTCACATTACTATGAAACAGACTGCATTTTTCTGTTTAAAAAGAAGCTCATCCAGGGCTGAGGATTTAGCTCAGTGGTGCTGTGCCTGCCTCTCAAGCAAAAGGTCCTGAGTTTGATCCCTAGTACTGAGAAAAAAAAAAAGCTCATCCATAATCTCAAATACCAAAGAGAATCATTTTTAACATTTTCTTTCTTCCCCTTTCACAGATACATACTTTTAATATTTTACTGTAAGCATTTCTCTCCCTAAGAGGGACTGTGAACACCTTTTCTGGGTGAGTCTCCATGGTTTGTGGCTAGGAAGTAGGAAGGAGCATGTACTTATGGACCCAGTCTCTGTTGCACTAGACCTAGTTAAAAACCAGTTTTCTAATCTGCAAAGTGGAAAAGACAATCCTTCCCCTATCTACTTCTCACAGGTGTGAGGGAGACTCACGTAAATAAAATTTCTCACTTCTAAGATGATACAGATTTTAAGACAAAATGCTGTCAATTAAGTAATGATACTTAGGTGCATCCTGATCTCAGAGGTATTAGAATTTGAAAATAAGTGCATCTTAGAACCAGGGAAACGTAGTATGCAAATGAAATTTGAAGATTCTAAAAGGATACTGAAAATGAGAAGCATTATTAGTGTTATTCAATACAGAAAGTCAGCATTTTTGCTATCAGTAGCCTAGCAGTGTGCTGTGATCGAGCCTACTGGGAAGGAGAGAAGGTGATCATATTCAAAGTGACAATGGAAGAAAAGACAAAAACATATGAGGGAGGAAATCATGATGCACAGCAGTGTAAATTTCAGCAAAAGAAAGGCATAAAAGTTACTAGAAAATTCCTGCCAGGTGTGGTGGCACATGCTTGTAACCCCAGCACTAGGGAGGCTGAGGCAGGAGGACTGCCAAGAATTTGAGGCCAGCCTAAGTTACAAAGTAAGCCCAAGGCCAGCCTGAACTACATAGGCATAGCAAGACCCTGTCTCAAAAAAAGAAAGAAAAAATAAAGTTCCTTTTGCTGACTCCTATGTCTGTTGGTAGCATCAAAAACAGGTTGGTTGGAATAATACTTGCTTTTTTTTTTTTTTTTGGTAACAGGGATTGAGCTTGGGACCTTGCACTTGCAAGGCAGGCAGTGAAACCATTGAGCTAATACTTGCTATTTGTCCTAATACTTGCTATTTATAGAAACCATATACAGTGGACCCTCGAGTTATAACCAGCCTGACATATGAACAACTTGGTTTATGACCAGAATTTTAGTTTTGTTTTTTTTTGCAGTACTGGGGATTGAACTCAAGACCTTGTGCTTTCGAAGCAGGCATGGCACCACTGAGCTAAATCCCTGGCCCTCAGAATTTTAGGGTTTTTTTTTGTTCGGGGGACCAAACTTGGGACCTTGCGCTTTTGAGGCAGGCGCTGGAACCACTGAGCTAAATCCCCGGCCCAGAATTTTAGTTTTAACTTATGACCAAAGTCTTGAGTTATGACCCAAATGCCAGGCACTTGTGCTTCCAGATGGTCTCAGATACAGATTTAACTCTTACAGAGTTCTGGAAGGAGCATTACAACATCCTTTCCTGTGTGGGGTTAATTGTGAAATTCTAAGCCAGTGTCTCTCTAAGGACACTGAGATCTGCCTGTATACAGGAGAGAGACTTTGAAGGCTGTGTAAAGGACCCTGAGTCTTCTACTTGATCAATTTGAGTTACAACCAGCCCTTGGGAACAAACTGAGTTCATAAGTCAAGGGTGCACTATAGGAGATATGGCATAGGGTTAGGGATCTTACTTATGTTCTCTCATTTAATCCATGCCCCTTTCCCATGAGGTTGGGTTCATCATCTTCACTTAACAAGTAAGAAAGCTGAAACTAAGAACATTTAAAGACTTGCCTGCAGTAATATGAAGTGGCAGATAAGGGATTTAAACTCAGTCCTCCTAACTTTAAGTTCATCTTGTGGGCTGGAGATGTAGTTCAGTGCTAGAGCACCTGCCTACCATACTCGAGGCTCTAGGTTAGATCTCCAACACTGGGGGAAAAAAGTCTACACTGTACACTAATCAGTCCTGCTCCCACTGGAAATGCAAACCTCCATTTCCCCTCAAAATATTTTTCCTATAATGAGGTGGTTTCCTGGGAAATACTGCAAACCTCACCTTATCTTTTCCTCCAGAGACACAAAGTTCTGAGTTCAGAGAAGCAATAACAAAAACAGAATCCACGTGAGCGGGGCTATACTCTTGAAAAGTTTTAGTTTGGATTCTCTCTTCTATAATTCCATCATGCCTGCTAAAGAAGAATGGACAAGGAGAAACCCAATGCCTGGGAGTGGACAGGAGAGCAAGGGGAACTGGAATGTGGGTGATGGTAGCAATTTGGGCCAGGCTGCGGGGTGGGTGGGGTGGGGTGGGGGGAGGACAAAGGAGACTCGCTGACATCACCAGAAATGCTATTGCTTATTCTGAAAATGCTGAGGACCACTGAATGACTGAAACATGATAAAGGGGGATCCTGAAGCCAGGAGTCTTTGCTGATGCTGCAGACTAATCCCCAAGATGCAGGGCCCCTCCGGGTATGGGTGCAGATACCAACCATCAAGGTGACTGGTTCTCATCCACAAGAAAGTAGACCAAATTGCTCAGGAAAAAGCATCAACACTCACTCTGGGTGTTCCCTTCCTTTCCTAGAGTGGTAACCGGGCATGATAACATTGGAGACCCCAGGGAAAGACTGCTGTACCTGTATTTGTAAGTGCTGTGTTTGAGTTTGCTTTGCAGTTTCCCCATCACGGCACAGAAATCTTCTGAAGAGCCCCTTTCCGTAGGCATTGGAGTAGCAGCATCCCTTGCAGTTGCCGGAAGTTGTGTTCCCTGTTTAGTAAAAAGACCAATGCACACAGTGAATTTTGCTAGGCACAACGATAAAGTATGGTTATGTCAAACCTTTTTTTTTTTGAAGACTAATTTTATGCATTTGTTTTTCTTCTTTTTCCTGCTTTACTCTTATGGTCTTGGGATGGCAGCTACCAATAGCATTGGCATTGACAGATTAATAAAAACAAAAATAATTTTTAAAAAATACTAAGAATTAGAAAGGCGTAGTGGTGCACACCTATAATCCCAGAACTTGGGAGCTGAGGCAGGAGGATTGCCAAAAGCTTGAAGCCAGACTGGACTCCATGATCTCACATAGTTAGACTGTGTCTCAAAAAACCAAAAATAAATATATAAAAAAGAACTATGTTTAGACTGATTTAAATGTTACACAAAGTATACATATGCTGAAACATTACATGGTACCCCACCCATTAATAAGTATAATTTTTATATATGTATTAGTTAAAAACGTGAAAATAGTACTAAGAAATTCCTCAATAAGTTAAATACAGAATTACCCCGAGATCTAGCAATCTCACTCCAGGAAATATAGCCAGAAAAAATGAACACAAGGTACTCAAAATTTGGTACATAAATATTCACAAAAACACTGTAAAAAACTCTCATCAATGGATCGATACATCATGGGTGAATCTTCTAAATTTCACACCCAGAAAAAGAAACTAACCACAAGCCAGGTGTGGTGGCACACACCTGTAATCCCAGCACTCTGGGAGGATGAGGCAGGAGGACTGCAAATTTGAGCCCTGCTAGGGCAACTTAGTGAGACTTTGTCTCAAAGTGAAAAATAAAAAGGGCTGGGGATGTAGCTCAATGTGAAGGCCTTGGGTTCAATCCCCAAGACCACACATGAAAAAGCCAGATACGAAAAGCTACATAATGTATAACTCTACTTATGTGAAATATCTACATAGTTCACAAATCTATAGTGACAAAGCAGATTAGCGGTTGGCAATGGCAAAGTTGAGGTGAAGAGCAGAGGAGCATTTTGCCACTTAACAGGTACAGTTTCCTTCTGGGGTGATGAAAGTGCTGTGGAACTAGGTAGGTGGTGATGATTGCAAAACACTGTCTATGTACTAAATCCCACTAATGGTAAATAAATACTAAGAGCATGTAATTAAAAATATAATATAGGGCCAGGGATTTAGCTCAGTGGATCCATCGCCTCCTTGAAAGCGCAAGGACCCAAGGTTGATCCCCAATACCCCCCCAAAATAAATAAATAATAAAATAAAATAAATGGGCCAGGGATTTAGCTCAGTGGTTCTGCCGCCTGACTTGAAAGCACAAGGTCCCGAGTTTGATACCCGGTACCAAACAAAAACAAAAACAAAAACAGAAAAAATGACATTAGTGAAGCTTCTTACAAGAGAGGCGCTTTAGTTATTCCAAAATGTTATGCCCTTCTTTGCTTGCTAGATTGTATTAAATAATTTTATTGTGGCACTTCTCTAAATCAACATTCCAGGATCATGAGTTTATTCTGTAATGAGAATGAGATGCTAAAGATAATGACACTAAACGATACAATAAGGGTGATGATATAGACCAGCAGTTCTTGAAGTACAATCTAAGGACCAGGAAGGATTCCTGAGTCTTCAGCGAGTCCCTGAGTTCCTCCCTTTTCCAACTGCATCTCTGTGGGAGGCCTGATTTCTCAACCTGTCAACCTAAAATATGTAATGCAATAGATTGAAAGCAGAAGCAGATATGAGAATCTAAGCTGTCATCTGTTTAAGAGCTTAGGAAGATAAATACCATTTTTCCCAATTAGATTGTTTATAAAGTTTATTTTTCATACAATTATATTATTTATCTTAACATGCAATAGGTTTATTATTGTAGGTTTTAATTACATAAATATTTTTAAAGTTCTCAGCTTTAATGTCAATAGGAGATAGCAAACCAGGAATCTGAACCCAATCTATAGCCTACATAAACGAAAGCTCTCTAGAGCCCTCAATGATTTTTAAAAGGGAGAAGCAGTCTTGAGGGCAAAAATTTTGAGAACAACTGACCTAGAAATTAAAATCATGTTAATACTAGATGACATATATTAGAATTAAAAGAACTATTGTCTCTCAGCTTTACTTACATTATCCCCATCAATAACAAGGCTGGAACTAAAAAGAAAGAGAACGAATGACACATTCAAAAATCCCCATCCATTCATTTTCTCAGGAAACACCTCCTAAGTACCTACTAAACACCTAAGAACCTACTTTGTTCATGCTTGTACCAGCAGCTGGTGAAACAGAAGGAAACAAAGAAAGACAAACCTAAAGATATTGCCCAGTGTGATCATCTGCTGACACTGAAGGAAACCGATAGGGCCCAACCTCAGCCACTTCAGGTCCCGTGTCCTCTACAACTAGCTATTCCCCAAGATGCCAGAGGGCTGAGGGAAGTAAATGGGGCAGTGAGAGCACCCAGTCCCCACTTCCTCTAGGGTTCTCCTCAGAGTTCTAAGATATGAGGTGTTTTTGGACCAAAGAAGCCTAGTTCTAGGAAGAACTGTCTACAGGGAGACCAGCAGCTAAAATTAGCCATGTAAGTATTCTCAGTCATATCATGATCATTAAAAAAGTTTTCCAGAAGAATTTTAAGGAGTTGTCAGAACTGACTCCCTGACAGGAACAGGTAAGTAGTACAGAAGCACAAGGCAGTGGCAAGAACACTGGTTGTAGCATCAAGAGTTTGGGCTCTGGCCCCAGCTCTGCCTCATGTCACTGTGTGACCCTGAGTGGCTCCAGTCAGCACTCTGGGTCTCAACCTTCCCAGCTACTCAGTAGACTGAGTCAGGAGGATCACAAGTTTGAGGCCAGCATGGGCAACTTAGTGAGACCCTGTCTTAAAATAAAAAGGGCTGAGGACGTTGCTCAGTGGTAGAGTACTTGCCTAGCATGTGTGAGGCCTGGGTTCAATCCTTAGTACTAAAAAATATTAGGACACAAGACTAAATGATTTTTGGTAGACTGTATGCTCCACAAGGAAAAGGACTTATATTATTCATCATTGTACCCCATTGTACTGTACAACAAAAATATCTGTTGTAACAAATTGGAATCTAACATCCCATTCAGACATTCTAGGATTCTCTGTAATAGGTCATAAGATGTGCTAAAAGAAAAAGTTCCAGAACAAAATCTTTGTAAATAGGGAAGGGGGTGGTGGTGAAGGGAGGGCAGGGAATGGGGAAAAAATAAGAACCAAGATACATCATGTAAAGGTACAAGTTCCCAATGAGAAATGTAAATATATTGTATACCTAAAATGTACCAATAAAAGAATTTAAGGGAAAAAAATAAAAAGTTCCAGGATAGTTTCCAAAATACTTTGGATATTGTGTTTATAGATAGAGTGTAGGGCTTCCTATCTGCTGGTCTAACCCATTTTTCACCATTGCCATCAAACTATAAAAACAGGTGCTATCCACAGATCTAGGTCATTGGAAATTGCAGGTGCTATAAATGGGCTGGCTGTGCTTAAAACTGATTGGATTCTTAGCTGGCATCTTCAGAGAACTATACTTCCCAAGTGAAGAGTATTAATGGTATATTCTAGGGAAAAAGTAACTTTTAGAATTACTTACCCTCAAACCAATAGGATCTTCTCGGTGGGTTGCCGTATTCAATGATTTGTAATGTTTATCCTTTGGAAAATAGTTCAGGCAGCCACTTCCTAATCTCTGTAATTAGTGAAAAGACGCTCAACTTAATCTCTAAGCATATGTTTGCACTGAAAAGAGATTTACAAGGTAAATAAGGACTCTGTTTAATTAAAAAGAATGTTAAGTATAGTTTTCCTTTACAAAGAAAGCAGTAGTTTACAAAATTCCAAACCTATATAATTCACATTTCCAACAATGAAATTGTACTGTAAAATTAATTATACATCTTTTAAAATATGCAAAATATATTTAATTTCATCATTAAACATTTTGATTTTACTTATGTTAATCAAAAATCCTCACAATTTATGCTTACTTCAGAGTTTACTGCTTTTGAGATAAAAGGCAATTTAGCATGGTACTAGGGATTGAACCTAGCAGCGAACCTTTTTGAGCTTTCAATGATAAATAGCCACCTTTGGGATGTGAGCCATAGGTTCGACACCACTGATAGGGCCTTTACTCTGACCTACATCTCAGCCCTTTTTATTTATCCATTTATTTTTATTTTGAGATAGTTCTAACTTCCTAAATCGGAACTCCCAAGGTTGGGGACAACCTGTATGCAGGTTTTCCTTTCTGGGTCTTCAGATCACATACGCTCCCCCGTCCATTATGCAAACCGCTAAAGCTCGTGTTTGTTGTCTGTGGCGAGGAGCATTCACCCAAGTTGGAAACCTAGTGTCCCCCAGCCCAACGCTAACTCCCTGAAACCCCCTCCCCGCTTCGGCCAGGTGGTTGGCTGAGACGAGGAGTGCGACCGATTCCACTTCTCCGCGGCACCTCTTTCTACTATTTCGGGCTCCATACCCACCGGTGGAGCGGCGGGTCTAGCGATGAGGCCCACCTGGACGTGGAGCAGGAGGGCATCCACAGTCTCCACCGCCGCGCCCCGCGCCTCGCCCCCTAGCAACGAGCCGCGCGTCGCTAGGGCAGGAGTCCTGGAGAAAAACCTCCGGGGGCCCTTGGTTGACTCAGAATTTAAGTTCCGCTCCCCGGAAGTCTTCCAGGGACAGAACCGAGAGCTCCTTGCATGGCTTTCTTAATGTAACAATGTGTTGATGAGGTATAGAGAAGAGGACAAACGTACCCAAGAAAGGTCACGCTGCCGGAAGAATCTATATAATCCAAGGAAAGCTGTGTGTCTAATAGCCACGGAGAAAGTGCTTGGTAAATGTCATCTTTCAATTATTATTCTCCTAGAGAACAGGGTTGCCTTATTTATTTAGAGTTTTTCCTAAATTCCAGCCAGATAGAGATCCCTCCTTTGGACCCTACTTCCCTCTTTCTTACATTCGTTCAAACCATATTCATCAAACCAAATTCATCAAACCATAACAGCCAGGCACAACAGCAAGGAGACCCCTCAGCACCTTCTTGAGATCCAAATGTAAGAGAGTTTCAAAAACTAACAGCAGACACAAGACAAAATTTTTACAGCTACAGTCATGTCGCTTCCAGCCTAAAGTCTGTTCATCTCTGTATTCCTAGTGCACAGCTTTGGGCTTGTTGAATGTTTGTTGAAGCAATGAAGGAGTGAGTGAGTGAATGAGTGAATGAGATCCTAACCAACATTTCTTTTGCACCCTAGTATGTGGTGAGAGTGGCCAGAGAAGTTTGCCTTCACAGAGTATCCAAGTTGGCCACTGGATCTGTATTCCACTCCAGGGAAGGAATCTCTGCACCATCCCTTGTCTATGGTCCCTCCTTCACGATGCATTCATTCTTTTCTGAGTCAGTGGCCTGTTGTCAGGAGATATATTTTCTGGCAGGAGCTGGGCTCTACTCCTATGCCACTTGCAACATTGATGTTAGTTCAGAGCTGAGGGCTCTCCCTACAAACTTACCCCTCTTCCCTATAATTAGAATATACCTGTTGCTCAGTGCTGGGGCAATGGGCTAGGCTCAGTACAGCTACAGGCTGATTTACTAGATTCCTGCCTTCAAGATGTTCCTGCTGTGGGATGGAGCCCCCTTGAGAGATGCCTTAGGCTTGTGGCATATAATACTCTCAAACTGGTATCTGCAGCCAGACTGCTTTTTGAGCCATACCTGTATATCCACCTGTCTCCAATTGGCTGTCTAAAAAACACCTTCTCCCTAACATGACTCACACTGGGAACATCATCTTTCTCTCAAACCTGTTCCTCCCCTTTTTTCTGTAAATGCTGAGCACTGCCATTTGTTAATCAGCCAGATCAAGGATATAGGAGTCACTTGTAACTTTTTTCTTCCTTGTTTGAGAAGAATCCCTAAGATTCCTCAATTTTACCTCCTAAATATCCTAAAATAAAAATCTGCCCTTCTCTCTAGCCACCACCATGGATCAGGCCAAGATCATCCAGAGTGTGATAGATTGAAAATGACCATAGATTCTTTGCAACTTCTATCAGAACTGGCCTTGTAACTTGTTTTGCTCATAGAATGTAGCAGAAATGACATTGTGGGACTTCCGAGTTTAAGCCTGTAAGGACTTGCAATTTCTGCTCTTATCTTCTTGGACCACTGCCACGATGGGTGGAGGACCAGGCTAGCCCGTTCGAGAGACATGGTCCATCCAATAGCTAGCACCAAATGTCAGACATGTAAGTGAGACATCATCGTCCTCATTATTATTATTATTATTATTATTATTATTATTATTATTAACAATAATGGGGATTGAGCCCAGGACCTTCACACTGAGCTACTTCCCCAGCCCTTTTTAATTTTTTTCTTTACTTTGAGACAGTTTTTCTAAGTTGATAAATTGCCCAGGTTGGGCATGAATTTGCAATCTTCCTGCCTCAGCCTGCCAGAGTGCTGAGATAACAGGTGTGTACCAGTGCACCTGGCTGTGACTCAGACTATTTTAGACTACCCAGCCCTAGCTGAGCCATCAGATGACTGTAGCTCCCTGAGCAGCCATCAGAAGAGCAGCCCAGCTGAACTTAGCTCTATTTGCTAATCCTCAAAATTCTGATCAAATAAATAATGTCATTTTAAGCTACTGAGCTTAAAATTGTTATACATAATAGGTAACTGATATCTGAGGTGACTGACATCCAAATTCCTTCTACAAGATTTAGTATGTATCTTTTTAGCCTCATCTTCTACCTCTGCCACCCATACTGTGTGCTTTAGTGGTCTAAACTACTTGCAGTTTCCCACTTTATTGTGCTAGCTGTCACCTTTAGATCCTTGCATGTGGTGCTCATTACCCAGATCATCTCCCTTGTGGCTGTCCCTTCTGTCTGGCTCTTTACCCTCAGCTTCTCTTCCTCTACTCCCAAGTCTTCCCTAACCATTCCTCTCCTGCTCTGGACTGGATTAATTGTCCTACTTCTGCGTTTCAAAGCCTGCACACCTTCTCCAACATACTGTGAGTTTTCTTTCTTTTTTCTTTTTCTTTTTTTTTGCTCTGCTAGGATTTGAACCCACAGTCTTGTGGATGCTAGATAAGCATCCTTATCATTGAGCTACATCTCCAGTCCTGTTATTTGTTTCTTGATTTTGAGGCAGGTTCTCACCTAGTTTCCCAGGCTGGACTCAAATTTGTGACCCTCCTGCCTTAGCCTCCTGAGTAGTTGGGGTTACAAGCATGTGCCATAGTGCCAGTTGATATTTTTCATTTCTTGTCTCACTCATCTGTGAGCTCCATGAAGACAGTGACTTAGTCTCATTCACACTTATATGGATGGTGCCTAACACAGGGACTAGCATAGCATTGCAAAGAACTTTCTACCATGTTGGAAATGTTCTGTTTCTGCACTGACCAGTCCCATAGTACTACACCGTAGCATTTCTTTTTGTTTGTTTGTTTGTTTTTTGAGACAGGGTTTCACTATGCACTTCAGGCTGGCCTTGAACTATGTAGCCCAGGCTGACCAGGAACTCTTTGCGATCCTCCTGCCTCAGCCTCACAAGGGCTGGGGTTACCAACATGCACCACCACCCCTGGTTTGCCATAGCATTTCTGCACTGACCAGTCAGTCCTGTAGCAACTAGTTCCATATAGCTACTGAACACTTGAAATATAGCTAGTGCAACCGAAGAACTGAATTTTAAATTTTACTTATTTTAATTAAGATTAAATTTAAGTAGCCACATGGGGCTAGTGCAAGTTTAGCACACAGTAGGTACTTATTGAGTTTTGTTCTGTTTTGTTTGGCAGTACTGGGTATCAAACCAAGGGGGTCTTGCACATGCTAGGCAAGCACTCTATCACTGAGCCACATCCCCAGTTCCTTATTGAATATTTTTTGAATAAAGAATGGAAAGGGAGGACAGTCATGGAAAGACAATTGGCCCACAAGATAGGATGTTAGGGTGTAAGCAACATAAATTCATGTACAGCCCTCTAGGCCCTGTACCTCCCAATCCCTGGGTCTAATTCTACCAGTGCCTCTTATGCAAATATAACCTTGGCTCTGGGTTCTTTATTGCCTGGATTGGCCATTCTTCCTTGGACTTGGCCTGTTTGATAATGTCCTGCCTGTGAAGTGAGCTGATCCCAAAGCCCTCTAGAGACAAGATCTGGGTACATCTGGTTTGGTCTGACCTGAGTAGAGAGCACTATCTCTTTACTCCATCACATGGAACCCATGTGGTCTAAGTTTGCACTGGCAGGTTGCCCAGTCCTCTTAAAAGTGACAGTTGAAGCTGATTGTGCTATGAAAACGTCACAGAAGGACAAGAAGCCCCAGAATGTTGACACTCACTGATACTCCTGGAAACTGGATAAACCGAAGTTGGATGACTTCTAGCACTGGTGCTAGACACATTACAAAAGGGTCTGAGGAGGACTGAAGAATGGGCACAGGGCCCCACTGAGCAAGCAGACACACTGGGTCTGCCATGGTGGACCAGACCTGAATGAAGGATAGTTCTTTCCAGAAGCCTTTCTAAACATTCACTAAAAAAACTTTTAAGACCAGGTGCTGTGCCACATTCCTGTAATCCCAGATACTCAGGAGGCTGAGGCAGGAGGATTGAAAGTTCAAGGCCCACCCAGGCAACTTAGCCAGACCTTTTCTCAAAATAAAATAAGGGCTAGGTATGTAAGCCAGTGGAAGAGTGTTTACCTACCATGCACAGGGCTCTGGGTTCCATCCCCAGCACCCTCCTAAAAAAAGACCAAAACCAAATGTTGTAAATATCATTAACAAGCAAGTGAAAGAGCAGGTTACAGAGCAGGATATGCACAGAATCCTAATTTTATAAGAAGAAATACAATCTTATATATTCCAGAAGAGGGGCTAATGGATGCTCATATGTGTAAAGATCTGTAATTATACTTAAAGCAGGTTATCACTCCATGGAATTTATATGAGGTTCATTGGTGAAGAGGAGCAGAGGTCATGGCATAGAAAGAAATCTTGCACTTGCTACCTTCTCTGCCCAGACACTCCTTCCCAGGTAGTCTCAGAGCTCTGGCCACACCTTCCAGACAAGCGCCTCCATCATGCTCCCTTTTGTATTGTTAAAACAAACTCTGGAAGGGCCAGAGATTTAGCTCAGTGGTTCCGCCCGCCTGCCTCACAAGCGCAAGGACCCGAGTTTGATCCCTGAAAACAAAAACAAACTCTCGAGTCTGTGATCTCTGAAATAAAAGATTTACAGAGCAGTTACAGATGCCAGCCAGAAAAAGGAGCAGATCTGGGGATGAGTACCCACAACTACCAGCAGGAGAACCAAGAACACCGTTTCTATAATGAAAATTTGAGGAAGAAAGACATAAGTTGTTAGATGTGGGATTATGTGAAGGAGGGAAAGCTTTGGGATAAGAGGGCAATCTATAAGGAGATGTAATGGTTGTTTTTGGATTGACAAGGGTTGTAAGCAGGTGTCTGGGAGCTCATGATGGGATTGGAGTTAATGGGGGGAGGGTTTGCTTTTCAGTGCTGGGGATAGAACCAGGGTCTCTTGCGTGCTAGGCAACTGCTTTGCCACTAAACCAAACACCCAACCCTGAGTTAAAGTTTTAACATATATTCCAGAATACAAAACCATCTTTTATTGTTGGCCTGTAATTTGTTAGCTGATTAACCATCCTCATTGTTCTTCATCCTCTGGCCTTTGTAATTAAATATAGGACTTCTCAGAAATTTTCTCTTATGTAATGTTTGAATCTTCTTCATCTCTCATTACTGACATTGGACTACGTATCTATTTGTTTTTATTTGTCCATGGAAGTAACTTTGTTCTAGATTGTTGTACTCCAGTTAAATAAGGCCTGGTGCACAGGTAGGTGCCCAATAAACCTGTTGAATGACTAAAATGTCCATGTTTCTCTGTCTCCAGTTCAGGGTGTCTGACTTATACAAACCCTAAAGTTCAAGCACAGCCCTTCCCATGCCCAAAAGGGCTCCAGAAACCCCTGTACAGCCTAAGCAGCTTTCAAACTTATTTTTGAACATGACCCTCAGAAAGAAGTACATTTTGTCTCCACTGCCTATATACATCCTTTTACTTAGATGTAATCAAAAGACCAAATTATAACAAATTTAGCTAAATTTAGTTAAATGATCAAATTGGCTTTTATTAACAATTCTAAAATTGGGCAACACATCATTCTATAATGTAGATGGACTAAGACAAAGAGGTTGGTTTTATGGGAAGAACAGGGCTGAAGGAAGCAGAAATAAAATCATTTTGAAGTTACTTTCCTACCAGGTCAAAACAAAGGGGATTTCCTTTATCATACCATCTAAATCTGGCCTGTTTGGGACAATAATGTGTTGCTCTTGCTTTGTAGAAACAGCAGATGAGCAAGCTTGTGACATTTTAGTTTCAGTTTGGTAATGTGGAGCTTAAGCATGAGCATGAATGACTCCATATTGATTTGGTTTTGTCTGTTGCTATTGCAGGAGCCTAGGCCAAAACAATGCCCTCCCATAAAGTTTGTTTAACTCCATGTATTTAACTGAAGCAACAACCAAGAGTTGGTTACTTCATTGTTTTCCTTCTTTCTTTTTCTTTTTCTTTTTGAGACAAGGTCTTAACTATTATAGTTCAGACCAGCCTTCAACTCATGGCAAACTTGCTTCAGCTTCCTGAGCGCTAGGATACAGGCATGTGTCACCATACCTGGTTCCTTTCTTGACTTGACATCCCCACCTAATAAAGGGTTGCCACTGCTTAGGGCAGTGTTTAGTTCAGAGGGCTCATCTGCTTCCTAATCATGGATGACTGCTAGAAATGGAGATTCCTGGTTCCACTTCAGGTTTTTTTTGGTTTTGTTTTGTTTTGATTTTGAGACAGGGTCTCTTGATATAGTTCAGGCTAGCCTTGAACTTACAGCAATCCTCTTGCCTCAGCCTCTTGAGTGTTGGAATTATAGGCATGAGCCCCTACACCCAACTTCCACTCCAGATGTAAAGAATGAGAATCTTGATGGGGATTTAGCTCAGTGGTTCTGCCGCCTGCCTTGAAAGTGCAAGGTCCTGAGTTCAATCTCCGGTACCAAAGAATAAGAATCTTACTAGAAAGTCTCCATTTCCTACCTCCATCTCCTGTGCCCCACCCCCTAGTGCTTCTGGAGCCAGATGAGCTTGAAAGGCCCAGCCTGGGAGTTTATGAGTATCCTAGGCCTGGTGAGGATGTGTGTCCTTCAGGGCTTGCTGCTTGTTTCAGGAAGGGGCTGATTCTCCAGCTCCAGGTCAAGAGCAATGGAACAGATGAACCCAGCTTTCTTTTTTTTTTTGGTACCGGGCATTGAACTTGGGTCCTTGTGCTTGCACAGCAGGCGGCCAAACCACTGAGCTAAATCCCCAGCCCAAACCCAGCTTTTTAAAAGCAAATCCATTCTCATTGTATCCCTTTGCATTTCCTAGCCCCTCTGCCTGGGAACATGTTTGATGATTTCTTGCTGTGACTTTCCAGCCCTAGCCCTCCTAGGGCCACTGACTCTTCTAAGGCCACACCCAAGGAAGGAACCCAGCTTTTCCCAGGGACCTTATCCCTTTTCCCTTCCTGTTCCCCATAGCTTCCTCGTCTTTAGGGAAAAAAACCACCAAAGTAATCTCTAATTACCATGGCCCATTTCCATTCCTACCCACAAGGAGGACAGATGCAGTTATGAGGACATCACCCTCCCACTGGGATGTACTGAAAGGCTTCTTTTGATAACAGGACCATTACAAGGTCTCTCTAAAGAACCTCACACAATTTACATTTCCAAACCTGCCACAAGAGTAGTTACAGATCCCAACATGTGTAATAAAATCATTTATTATTCATGAGTGTATGTCAAAGCAAGCATTTTGCAAGTAAGATTTCATTTTATTCTTGACATAGCACTCTAAACTGGGTACTATTATTATCTGCATTGCAGAGATAGGAAATTGAGTTTTTGTTGTTTTTTGAGGCAAGGTCTCCCTATGTAGTTCACTTGTAGCCCAGGCTGGCCTTGAACTTGCGGTGATCCTCCTGCCTTAGCCTCCCAAGTGTGGGAATTACAGGCAGGCACCACCACAACCAGTGAGATGAGGAAATTGAGACCAGAGGGACCATGTAACCTGACTCCAGTCCCATAGCTGTAAGTGGTATAGCTACGATGAAACCTATAATGCGACATTCCACTCTGTTATTTTGTCTGGCCACATGGTATAATATTTGTCTATGCGGAGTGACAAAGTGTCCATGCTGGAAGGTGACATCACTTAGTACTGCTCTGAGTGGTTTCCAGGCTGTTAGCTGCCCTTACTCCTTTGGGGATAAAGTCTAGAGCCTGTGAGGGGAAGGGCTCTGTTGCCTTTGCGTAGTGGTGGTTTAGTGGAGCCTCAGGGTCAAAGAGCCTAAGCCCCCAGGAGTCTCAAAGATGTAAGGGTTTTTTTCCCCCCAAGATTTTGCTGCTGTCTGTCCCCAGAGGTTCTGAACCCAGAATCCACCCCTTCACACGGGGCCTGAGCCCTCCCCACTTTGGCTGAATTTATTCAGCTCTCTGCTGAGGTGGAGTTTGGGCTTGAGGAGCAGTGCCTTCCTTGTAGGCCCAGACTGGGCCCCCAACAGAGGGCTCAAGATCTGGCCTTAGATCGACATACAGGACCCTGGAATGGCTCAGGTTCATGTTAGCCGTTCTTTCTGGAAGGCGTGAGTGGGTTTTTATTCCATGCTCTTATTTGCAAGATTGACTTTCTTCACAATAAACATGCATTACTTTTCCACAGTGCTAATTAAAAAAAAACCTCAAACATTCAAATTCAGAAAATTTGGATGCAAATCCTGTCGTTTGGGAAAAACAACCTCAGTATGGACTTTAAAAATTGTCATCAGGGCTGAGGATGTTCCTCAGTGGTGCAGCGCTTGCCTAGATTGCAAGAGGCCCTGGCTTTGATACCTAGCATAAAAAAGTAACATAGTAACTTTAAGTTACTACCTCTGGTTCTCATTGCCATTAATTAGTGACTATGACCTCACATAAGTCACTTAACTTCCATAAGAATTGGAATGTTGGGCTGGAGATTTAGCTCAGTGGTTCTGCTGCCTGCCTCGCAAGCAGAAGGACCCGAGTTCGATCCCCATGTACCAAAAAAAAAAAAAATTGGAATGTTAATAGTACTTTCTATGTACTATTAACTGCTGAGAGACTGCAGCTACTGTCTGTGTTCCAGGTACTGTACTGGTTTATGTGTTTTTAATTCACTAACTCCTCAAGCCCAAGTCCATTAGGCAAGTGCTGTCATCCCTATTTTTTTTTTTCTTTCTGGTACTGGGGATCGAACTCAGGACCTTGAGCTTGCAAGGCAGGCTTGGCACCACTGAGTTAAATCCCCACCTCCCGTTGAGGCCACAGAGTGGCTATGAGGGATTTGAACTGGGCAGTCTGACACCAAAGCCTAGTTTTAAGCTACTTGCTTAAGTTACCTCTCATAAAAGCTATTGTGAAGATGATCAAATGCTTGTAAAGTATTTGGCAAAACTTGCACTGGTTTTTTTTTTTTTTTTTTGTACCGGGGATCGAACTCAGGACCTTGTGCTTGCAAGGCAGCCATGGCGCCACTGAGCTAAATCCCTGGCCCTTTGCACTGTATTTTTATTTTCCTGAGCTACATTCCCAGCCCTTTTTATTGTATTTTGAGACAGGATCTCACTTGATTCCCTGGCTGGCCTCAAACATGTAATCCTCCTGCCTCAGCCTCCCAGGTATTTGAGACTACAGGTATATAACACGCCCTGCTAAAACCTGGCACTTAGTAAGTGCTCAGTAGTTTCCTATGGCCACATTAATGTTTGGTGTTCTATCGTCTTTATGTGTTTAAAAACACGCATACAATGCGATTTAATTTAGCAAAGAAAAGGACTGGTGAAGAGGGCAGATCAGGGCGGGGGCGGGGCGGGAGGAGGTGCCGGGAGGGGCGGGCCCAGCGTGGGCGGGGATTTCACTGGCCCCGCCCCACACCACCTGCGACAGGTGGACCGCGCGGCACCTGGCGTTCGGCAATGGCCGCGGAGGGCTCGGGGCTGCAGCGGGAGCTGGGGCCAGGGCCCAAGCCGGACGCGTTGTGTCCCGAGCACGGCCAGGGTCTTGGCTGGTTCTGCGGCTCGGAGAGGCGGCCCGTGTGCGCCGCCTGCGTGGGCCCAGGCGGCCGCTGCCGGGGACACCGCGTCCGCCGGGCCAAGGAGCACGCGGAGGAGCTGCGGGTGAGCGGGCGGGGGCCGCTGGCGGCGGGGCTCAGGCGGCAGGGACCGGGGAGAGCGGCGGGGGGGGGGCAGGGAGTACCGGGCTCCCCATTGGCTTCGCCTGTAGAACCAGTCTATGAAAGGTGTGGCCGCTGGAATCAAATCGACCCAAGTTCGAATCCCATCCTTCCCCATCTTCCCTGTGAGTCACAGTAACTCCCTGAGTCTCGATGTCTTCATTTGTACTTTGGGGGCAGGAAGAGTAGCTCGTGTTTATTATACGTGACTTCTGAAAAAACTGGGTCCTAGGTGGGTGTGGTGCCACAGGTTTGTGTTTGTAATCCCAACTTGCTGGGAGGCTCAGGCCGGAAGGTTAACCTGGGCTATAGTTGCCCTGGAACATAGAAACCCTCTTGGAGAGAGGGAGGGGGGAGACGGAGGGAGGGACAGAGATACAAACCCATCCCTCTTCACCTTTCCACCCAGAGCCGTCACCCTTATCCTTAGGTGTCAGATGAGGTGATCTGTTTCCTTTCCAGGATTAGCCTTTACTGTACTTCAAGCTGGTTTCACCTGGATAAATAACAGGGGGAGTGGGGAGGGTATGGGAGGAAAATTTCCCTAGGGTTTCTCCTCTCCTCCACTCTCAGCTTAGCTGCGGTCACTTTCCTCTCACCCCCACCCCCATGGAGAGTCAAGTCACCTAGGAACTTCCTTCCCTCTTCCACCCTAGCTGTGGTCCTGGGGATTTCCTTGCAGTTGGATGAACTGGGTTCTTTCTCCCAACCCCACCCTGCAGTTCAGCCCTCCTATGCACCTGTGCCCTCGCTGGGGACTTCACTGACTCAGACTGGACTGAAATATAAACACCTTACAGGATGCTGGGGCCACAAGGGGTTCAGTTATTCATCACATCCTAAGCTTCTGGTTGATCCTACCAGTCAACAACAGTGATGGTAAAAATCAACTTAGATAGTATGATAATCAGATTGCATGTTGGGTAGGAACTTAGCAAATTACAAAGTATATTTCATCTCATTCATCCAAATCAAGCCAGGAAACCAAGCCCCAAAGCAGGGCAGTGACTCCTGCAGGGTTCCTAAAGTTCAGAGGCTGGAGGGAGAGGGGTGATTCATTGACTAAGCAAGAGGAAGCCACCTCTTTATTCTCTGGTGGTTAGGAGGAGGAAGTGACGCTAGTGGAAAACCTTAAAAAGTACCCACCAGGCCCTGAGTGATAGAAGGCGTGAAGGCTGAGGAGGGGTGGCAGGCCTGGTGCTTATTTTGGATTGCACTCTGCTTCCAGTGTCTTCCCTGGGTGCCCCCACCCTGCCAAGACCTTAAATATATTTATCTCCTTTGCTTGAAGAGAGGTGAGTCTTGCCCACACTTTTTACAATTTTAGTGTAGATAACATGCTAGAGATCAAACCCAGAGCCTCCCGCTGCCACTAAACTACACCCCCAGCCATAGATTAGATGATGTCTTTAGCACAGTCCTTTCTCTAGCCCGCCAGCCAACAAAGAAATTGCACCCCAGGGCAAGATTGTTACAGAACTGTGCAAAACCCAGCACCAGTTTAACTGCTCTCTTGCCTTCTGAGTCCCTGCCCTGCAACTTTTCAGAAGCCAGGTTCAGTTCTCTCAGTGGCTGGGTACTCAGAGATCACAACTTTGGTGTAGTCAAGTCAATCCTGTAACTTTGCATTTGGACGTGTGTAGTATAGGACTAATTCCAGCTTATGGGAGGAAGGATTTACAAAGGCTTCCTGGAAGAGGTAGATGAATTGCCTTGTGGCAAATGGAACTGAGGGAAGGTCTTAAAGGAAATAGTGGAGGGAACCACTGCTTGGAAGGGCGCCAGCTGTGACCTGAAGAAATGGAGTGGAGAAGCAGGAGGCCTCACCATATCTCCTGGAGCAAGTCACTTCTCTGTGGGCCTTGGCTTTCTCATTTCTAAAACTCTCTCCTGTCTCCATGGGTTTTCCGTTATTATTGTTGTTGTTGTTGTTGTTGTTATTATTATTATTGTACCGGGGATGGAACTCAGGACCTTGCGCCTTGCAAGGCAGGCGCGACGCCACTGAGCTAAATCCCTGCCCCCCATGGATGATGCTCGTAACTGTGGGAGCTGTGAATTGCTGCCCCTTTTGTGGTCTGTGCAATAGATATTCATTCATTCAAAAAAAATTTTTTTTCTTTTAAATTCTTTTATTGGTACATTTTAGGTATACAATATGTTTACATTTATCGTTGGGTGCTTGTATCTACCTGATGCATCTTGGTTCTTATTTTTTTCCCCATTACCTGTGCACCCTTCACCCCCTCCACCCTTCCCTATTTACATAGATTTTGTTTCCATTTTTTTTCTTTTCTCACAATTTTTCCTTTCCCTTCTTTCCTTTCCCTTTTCCCTCTCACCACCCCTACACCTTTGGACCTTTTAATATTTCAAATTATCAATTTTTCATTTTAATCATTTTAATCTTTATTTACACTTTCAGTTTCTCACACTAGAGAAACTATTCAGTATTTACACATGTGTGTCCTATTTATTTCACTTAATATGCATCCATTTAGCTATAAATGTCTCTAATTTCTCGTTCTTTATGACTGAGTAGTACTCCATTTTATAAAAAAAACCCCACATCTTCTTTATCCAGTTTCCAGTTGATGGGCACTTGGGCTGTTTCCAAGCTTTAGCTATTTCAAACTGTGCCGCTATAGACATGGGTGCACGTATATCACGGTGTATGATTCTTTTAATTCTTTGGGGAAGATACCCAGCAGAGTCATTCAAAAAATATTTATTTAGGGGCTTTTATTTGCAGGAATTCAGAGAACATGTCAAAGATATGGTACTTATGTTCCTGTCATAGAGAAACACAAAAGAGTAAGCACATAACATGTAGTCTGAGAGTTGTAAGTACAAAGGAGAAAAATAAAGCGCAATAAAAAATAAAGGGGAACTGGGCATGGTGGTACATGCCTGTAATTCCAGCACTGTGGAAGGCTGAAGCAAGAGGATTGTAAATTTGAGCCCAAGCCCAGCAACTTAGTGAGACTCTTTTAAAATAAAAAAGGGGCTGGGGATGTTGTCATGCAAAGGCCCTGGATTCAATCCCTAGTACAGTAAGTAAATAAATAAATAAATAAATAATAAAATAAAAGATGAAAGGGAGGAAGTCAGGGAAGCCCTCTTTGAAGTGACATCTGGACAGAGTAAAGGAGCAACACACACACACACACACACACACACACACACACACAAGAATACTGCCAGAGAATAGGTGCAAAGGCACAGAGGTCAGGACAGTTTGGTGTTTTTAAAGAATGGAGAGAAGGTCAGGGTGGAGAGTGGTGGGAGGTGACACTGGAGACATAAGCAGTCACATCAGTTAGGCCCTTGTTGGCTAAAAGCATGATCTCGAGGTAAGTGTGTTGGAAAGCCAGTGGGGGACCTTGAGCAGGGCACATCCTGATCTGATTTCCTTATAAAGGGTGGCCATGGCTAATGGGGAGCAGGGGGAGGTTGAGAATGAAAGTACGATTTGGAGATTGTAATAGGATTCCTATTACAGTGAGAGATAACTGAGAGATTCTACCCATCTGGGTAGAATAACAGGAATGAAGGTGAGTGGAAGTGGCCGGAGGAGAGAGAAACTTTGGATTCACTAATGGGTTAGATTCAGGGAAGAGAAACTCCTGGATTTTGGTTTGGGTAACAGATTGATGACTGATGATGCCATTTCATGAATGGTAACAACCCAGGGGAGAGCAGCTTAAGAAGCCATGTTCTGCTCAGAAGCAGACAGGGAGACTAAGGGAGCCAGGTATGAAGGAAAGTCACAAGCATGTACATGGAAGTGGTTATAATGACAGGCCAGGGGACTTGAGGGTAAAAAAAGAAGTGAGGCCTCAGTAGGGAATTATGGGCAGCAAAAAGTGGTAAGACTAATGTATTGGTGGCCCCAACTGAGCTATTGAAATGGAAACTCTGGAGTTAGCAAATTAGAAGGTTGGAGCATGGTGGGCAGGGTGCAGGATCCTTGATATGAAGATTTTTGATAATGATGAGGTCTGGGATAAAAGAGAAAAATCGTTGGGATGAACAGATGGCTTATATGCATGGACAAAGATGCCATGAGCAATGCTTATGTTGCAGAATAAGATTGTGGACCAGTGTGAGAGGCTGCAGTTACAGAGTGCTGGTATCACCAAGTATGTGGCTGAAGTCCTATCGGGGAAGAACCAACGAGCAGTGGTAATTCTCCCCTTTTCCTCTATGCTGTGCCCCTCCCTGGATAAGACCCTACCCCTAGGGACTTTGTCAAGTCTAGGGTCCCTTTCCAACCTCACAGCCTCATTGTGCTATAAGCAAAGCTGGGTGTTCAGAAAGGGTGATTTCCCATCTCTCCAAGCCTCAATTCTATCATCTGGACAGAATGGGATTGTTCCTAGTACCTCACTGGATGCAAAGACTCTGCTAGATGATGGCTTTTTTTTTTAGGTATCTTGGGGTCGAGGATCAAGAAGTGTAGCATTGTTTTACCATCTAGTTATTTTGGACTCAGTCCCAGAATTATAAAAACACTTAGGGACTTACAGAGTATTCTTTACAACAATTTTACACAGTAGATGGCAGCAGATCCCTATATACAAATGGAGAAATGGATCCTGTGATGGTTCATTGACTTGCCCAAGGTCATACTGCCTCCTGGCAGTGTCAGTTCTGTGTCCTGGATCTTCTAACACCCAGGCCAGTACTCTTCTATATCCCACAGCTGGTTCTTATTCAGTGGACGCATTGCCCCTGCTATACTTCGCTGTTAAGCATGCCCTTCAGGACAGGAGCTACAGATTTCTTTCTGCACATCTCCTTCCTCCTGCCCCCATGGAGCAGGCTTGGCACTGCCTTAATCAGGGCTCTTTTAATTGCACAAAACAGAACACAGTCGAACTTGCACAAACAAAAGAGCATTTCCTGGCAGGATACAGAGGTTTTTCGGAACCTACAAGGGACTAGAATCAGGAACTAGAAAGCTTCTAGGTGTTCAGACAGCTATTCCATGTTCATGTCTGCTTTGGTTTTCATGATGATTCCTTGCCTGCTTTCTCTCCCCTCATCATTTTATTTTCTTATCTTACTGCACTGACAATTATTGTACCTCAGTACAAGGTTAGTCAGAAGCTACAGTACCAGATCCTGACTTTAAGGAGGAACTTCCAGTATTTCACCATTTATTTATTTAACAAATCCTTATTTGCACCTACCACGTGCCAGGCACTATTGTCCTATGTGCTTGGCACTCCACAGGGGACAAGCCATATGAAAATTCCTGTTTTCATGAAGCCTACATTCTTGTCAAATAAAATATATGTCATGTCAGAAGGTGATACAAGCTATGGGGAAATATAAATTAGGAAGTGGGATAGCATGTGTTGAGGACAGGGGTTGCAATCCCATCTGCTGTGATCAGGAATGACCTCATTTAAGCGGTTGATACTTGCACAAAAGCCTAGGAAGCTCCAGAGTGGCCCACACATGTGAGGGAAGAGTTTCCTAGAAGGAGGAAATGGCAAGTGCAAAAGCCCCAGGTGGGAATGTACCTGGCATGTGGGAAGAGCGCCAAGGAGGCCTGTGAGACCAAGCAGAGCATATGGGTGAGATGGCAGAGGATGGGTGGGAGAGGCAGTGGGCAAGGTGGAGCTGGATCATGGCCTCATTAGCCATGTAAAAAGACTTTGCTTTTCTCTTTGGGTCTGATGGGAGGCCATTGGGAATTTGTGAGCAGAGTAAGATGATGTGATTTAAGATTAAAAAGAACATGATGGCTGCTGTGTTGGGAAGTTACTATAGACAGCAGGGTAAAAGGTAGGGAGACCAGTTAAGAAGCTGTTGTAATAATCCAGTGGGAGACAACAGTAGTTTGGACCCAAGTGGGTTCACTTGTCATTCGTTTAGCCTCTCTTTCCTTCCCATTGTGCAAATTGTGGGTCTTAGTTTCTTCTGTCAAGCAGGGGTGATTGCTCCCTGCATTGTGTAAAGCAGGTCTTTGGGGACAGGCACAAGGAAAGTGGTTGATTCTCCCTGACTCTGACCTGAAGAGGCAGCTTTGCTGTCACTTTTTGGGCAAGAGTGCAAGGGCAGGTGCTTTATGCAACAGATGCCTTTGGGGACGACTGGTTACCAGGTGGTGTCTGCTATAAGGGAACAGTGTTGATCTGAGAGTCAAGAGAACTAGGCTGTGGTCCCTGCCCCTGCAACTGACTTGCTTTGTCAGTGCTACCAAGAGCTTTTTTAGTAAGCCAGGAAAAAATTTCCCATTCTATCATCCAGTCACTATCTGGGAGTGCCTACTGCATGCCAGGCACTGTGCTAGGAGTTAGGAAAAGATGCTCATTAACTTCACTGGCTGAGAATTAGGTATTCTAATACAGAACCTGCTGGAGTGGACGGCCTTGGGAAATAATTTGTTTTTGTCCTTAGACGTGGTGAAATATCAACTGGAACACTGTTGTTACGGAAGTGGTTGATGGGGATGACTTTTTAGGCCCTTCTATTTTGCAGTTTCTATAATTCCCAGACCCTGATCCCTTGGCCTAGGTATTTCTATATGTGAAGAAACCAGGTGATTGTAGTTGATATGTAAGCCCTGTCCAGCTTCTCCATTCTGTGATCATGGCCTCATGAGATGTAGCCTGGCTGTCTGGATCTCAAATTTCTTTAAACCGTATTTGGGAAGTCTCACTGTTGGTGTGTCAAAGTAAATGGTGTAAATACTGTTATTCCCCTGACTATTCCCATCATAGACGTTGCCATTCAGTCTTGGCATTCCTTCCTGCCAAGCCCAAACCCTCCTTATCCTGACTGGGGCTTTGCCAGGACCCAACTCCTCATTTCATCCCTTGTTAGAGCACGGCCAGTGCAGCAAGGGAAGTGGTCATCCAGCGGTTGAGTTTGGTGAGGAGTCTTTGTGAGAGTGAGGAGCAGCGGTTGCTGGAACAGGTGCATGGTGAAGAGGAGCGGACCCACCAGAGCATCCTGACACAGCGGGCACACTGGGCTGAGGCTCTGCAGAAGCTCAACACCATTCGTAGCAGCCTGGTGGACATGCTCACCCATCTGGATGACCACCAGCTGATTGTAAGTTGAGCAAGGCTGAGGGCATGGCCAGTGGCCAGACTCCCATGTTTGAAAACATTGAGAATGCGTATTAGTAGGAAGTGAGAATTTGGAGCAGGGATGAGTGACAAAGCTCCTTTGCTTGGTGTGCCTTCTGAACCTTCTAGGCCCTTCTGTTTACTTCCTTGTAAAAGGCAAAAGAACTCTTTGTTTAGCAGACCTCCCCCCTTATTTTCCATGTCTGATTACCCTCCATATCTGATTGGGTTCCTCATCTGCCGCCATCTCCCAGGTGGTATCTGGGGGTTCGCCCTGTTCTGTCTGCAACAAGAATCCTGTTAGGTTAGTTTAGCCAGAATCCCCCTGACCCCTGATGTTTCCTCTTAGTAATTTTCTATCTATTTACTCCTTGGCTATAAATTCCTACTCACTCCTGCCCTATTCAGAGTCAAGCCCAATCTCTCTTCCCTGCTGCAGTAGTCCCTATATCTATCGCAAGGGCCCTGAATAAATTCTTCCTTACAGTGCTTGAATAAGTATCACTGAATACTTTCTTCTTTAACATGAGGCAGGGGGAATCAAAGTATAAGAGTTGTTTTTTTTCTTGGCAACTAATAGCAATATCCTTTTAACAGCGAGCTCCTTATCGACACCTGTTAAATGCTAAGCATTGTACTGTGGGGCAGAGTTACAGGATACAGCTGCTGCTTCCAGTCGTATGAAGGAGATGAATATATAAACTAACATTTAGAGTAAGGAAGGATATGTGCTTTGGTAGAGGAAATCTCTCAGAACTAGGGACCTCACAATCCAGGCTGGGGAGGGGGTCAGGGAAGGCTTCCAGGATGAAGGGACTTACAGGTGGTAAGAAAGTACCCATGTCGAAGGAAGTCGCAGTGCACAAGGAGAAGGCTGTGCTTGAGGGAGCTGATAAGGGGTCCAGTATGAAAATTCTTAATTCTACCAGAAGTTACCATGATTAAAATTTGGTACATAGCCTTTCCATGTATTTTATAGACATGCAATTTTATAGATGTCCAGTTTTGAGAGGACAGCGTGACATCTGAATAAAAAATAATGCCAAGCAGAGGCAGAAGAATGTAGAACAAGTGAGCTGTCCCACTGCATTTTCAAGTAGGGCAGTTCCTGTGACTGCCCTCAATTGTGCATTCATTCAGTCACCCAGCTCCCACGCACAGTGCACATTCTGTCTCCAATCCTGGGACAGTCACAATAGAAGATTCAGAAAGTCGCAGCCACCCAGGAGCTGACATTTCTTGGGAGAAGTCTTTGGTAAATGGCTGATGGTTCTGAGGAGACCCCAGGGTGCCACTGGGCAGGGGCCACAGAGTGACTCATTCTGACCATGTGCTACAAGGGTGCATATGAGAACAGCCTGTAAAACTTGGTGCTGGGGCCTAAGGAAGGAGGAGGAGCTTTTATTCTAGACCCTTCACAGTTAAATAAATTCAAGTCTGACTGCCTGTGGGTTTCTGGTGCCACGCCTGACTTTGTTTTGTTTTCTTGCAGCAGAAAGAGCAGGAGATTTTTGAGAGGTAAGTATGGCTCCAGGATCTGCTTGGGCAGTCACGGAGACACTTGCCCTCTCCCCATTCCATTGCCTTCAGGCCCTGCCACTCCTGGGAGAAATTACAGTGCTCTTCCTGCTCTGGTCTGCACCACTGCTTTAGACCCACACTGAAGGGCAGTGAAGATCCTATTAATCAGAGCCTTGCCACCACAGGCTTTCTTGTACATTGTCCTATATCAAAATGAGGTCACCCTGTCCAAGAGTTTTACCACCCTCCTCTACAGATAAGAATACCAAGGCTCAGAAAGGGAAAGGAACTTGCTTAAGTCCCAGAGTTGGGGCTTGGACTTACTGGCCACCTGTCCCAGTGTTGTCTCCTCTACTTCATCTCCTTCCTCTCATAAAAGAATCTTTGAACTGTACATCTGCCTTACCACTCAAATTTTGCATTTTAATTATTTGATATGAAAAGAATTTCACCGAGTCTTACCCTGGCTTCTGAAGGGCTGAGAGGCAAGCCCTGAGGAGGAGGCAAGAAGATGTAATTTGCCAGGCGAAATAATTAACTCATCAGCCTGGGCTGATGTGCAGCTCAGCAGTAGAGCACATGCCCAGCATGTGGAAGAAGCTGGGTTTGATCCTCAGCACCAGAGAGAGAAGGAGAGAGGGAGGGACAGAGGGAGAGAGAGGGAGAGAGAGAGAAATTTAAAATTAAAAGTGAGGTTCTATCAATCCTTCCCAATTCTATTCACTAGAGGTGATTGGTTTTAATGTGTGTTTTTAGACCTTCTGTTAATCATAGAAGAGTATGTGAGGTGTCTTTAATTTGTTTGCCGATTTTGTTTGTTTTCTGAGACAGGATCTCACTATGTAGTTCAGGCTGGCCTTGTACTCACTATGTAGCCCAAGCTGGACTTGAACTCATGGCAATCCTCTTGCCTCAGCCTCCTGAGTGCTGGGATTTGCACCACCATGGCTGGCCTGTTTGTTGATCTTTTTGATTTTTTAAACAATATTTTTTAAAGCACAGATGGGATTGTTTTATACCTGTTATTCTACCACTTAGTAGGCTTAATAGGCTTTCCATGATAGTACATATAGATTTATTTTACTTTTTTGAAAGCCCATGAAGTATTCCACAGTATGGATATATCCACATTTATTTTACTTTCTGTCTCTCTGTCTCTCTGTCTGTCTCTCTCTGGGGAGGCAGGTGCCGGAGATAGAATGCAGGCCTCACATGTGCGAGGCCAGTGTTTCACCACTGAGCCGCATCTCAGTGTCTCTTGTCTCCTTTTAACGTAGGTGTGGCTCATCCCCACTTCTTCCCTCTTAATCTTTCCACACTTCCTGCCAGTCTTCTCATTTTACTTTATCTTCATCATCTTCTTTTAATTCAGTCTGTCCTCAATATGAAACAAATCTGAGTTTTGAAAAGAATTTTGATCTTTAATTTTTTATTTTGAAATATTTCAAACTTACAGAGAAGTTGTAAGAGTAGTATAATAAGCTTCACCTAGGATTATCAGTTGTTACTATTTTACCACATTAGATCTTGTTCAATCTCTCTTCCTATCTAGGTGAAGCTTATTATACTACTTCCAATTATATTATCTCATGACCAGAGTCGGGTCATACTTTTTTTTGTGTGTGAAACAGGGTCTTGGTATGTAGTTCAGGCTCGCCTTGAACTCACTATGTAGCTGGACTCAAACTGCTGGCAATCCTTCTGCTTCAGCCTCCTGAGTGCTGGGATTAGAGGCATGCACCACCATGCCCGGCTGGGTCGTACATTTTTGGGAGGAATAACTCTTTTTTGTTGTTGTTGTTGTTGACAAGTTTAAAACATGTATTTAAAATACAATTTATAAAATGCTTAATCTGCTGACTCAGGAGCCCGTATGTGGGGGTGGGGTGGGGGTGGGCAGCTGTCCACTGCACCAGCAAAGCAGGGTGCAGGGGTGTGGCCCCCTCCCATTCCCTTCTGTTCAGACACCCAAGGGGCCCATGTGCACCCCTGGGATCACACGACCAGAAAACAGGACCCCAGAGGTTTCTTCAGTCTCTGCTTGCCAGGGAGGCTGGGTGTAGCCCTGCCGGCCCATCCCTGAGCAAGGGACCCCCAAATGGGGCAGAGCAGGGTATGGCTGGGCAGGGCAGGGCTAGGCGGGGCAAGTGGGCTCTGGAAGGGGCTGATGGTAGCAGATAGGGTGTTGCCTCCTGCCTGCAGGTGGGGAGCACCCTGATTGAGTGGGCTGAGAAGGGCTGGTCACCAGGCCTGGACCCCTAGCTCCTTTGGTTATAGGCTGACATCAGAGTAGTGGCTCATGGGAAGCAGTTAGCTGGAAGGATTGAGGCCTGGCTCAAGGGGTCTGGGAGGAGCTGAAGAAAGGGACAGTACCATGAAGGCAGATAAAGGGGCAGCAGCCTCATGGTCCTGCCCCTCATCAGGGAGGAATAACTCTTAAGTGATGAATCTTCAGTCCAGCATATCAGGGGGCCTATGATGTCACTTAAGCAATGTCCCATCATCAGGCATGTTAATTTTAAGCATTTGGATAAGGTGGTGTTTAAGGGTTGTGTTTATTGTGTTTCCTCATTATATAGTTATATTTTCCCTCGTATAATTAACAAGACAAGCATGAGGAGATACTTTGCATGTATATGGTGTTTCTCTTCTCTTTTGCCCAGTAGTTTTGCATACGTTGGTAATTCCTGCCTTGATATTTATTTATTTGGTTTTTGGGGTGTTTTTTTGGTACTGGGGATCGAACTCGGGACCTTCCGCTTTTGAGGCAGGCGGCGGAACCACTGAGCTAAATCCCCAGCCTGATATTTATTTATTTGATTGCTTGTTCATTTATTTAGTGTCAATAGTTTCATGAGTTTGTATTTTATTCAGTGCATTATAGTCTGTTATTACCATTTTTAATTTTAACGTTCAAATTATCCCACATCTGCCAGTCAGAGCCCTTTGAGATGGATCCTGTGTCTTTTTGGCAAGACTCCATTATCCTTTGAACACTTTTCTGTTCTATAGCACAGGGATATATCCCAGGCTCAACTTATTCTTTTCTTGTTCCAGGTCTGGAATCAGCTCTTTCTCCAGGGATCTTGGTTTCTTAGAGCAGGGGAAGAATATTTAGAAGCCAGGATCTGGCAGTAAGGGTACTCATTGCTACTGATGTGTCACGGCTTCCGGGCCTTTTCGGGGAGCAACAGTAAGAGCTGAGTGTGTGTAACTATTTCATGCACAAGTCTGTATCACAACTTTGAATTCTAATCTAGCACCACAGGGTTTTCCCTTTTTGTGTCCCTATTATATATTTGTATCTTTTTTCTTTTATAGTGAAAACCTTGGTTCCCAACAACATGAAAATATTTATTCATTTGCTCAATCCTACAATATATACAAAATTGTTTGAGAGCAGCTAACCCCATTCTACTACTGACAACTACTAGTAGAGTTCAAGATCTGTCTGCAATCATTTGTGACCCCAGGTTGAGGGTGTACACTCTCAAAGAGCTGTGTTCAAAAGTTGTCAGGCCCCTTATAGCTGGAACCTCATTTGTCTGAGAAACGTCTTTGGCTCTGGTTTCTGTGCTCCCTCTCACCTGACAGTGACAACAGGTCCCATTGTATGGGCTGAGCATTCAGATCCAAGCCAGGATCTGCATTTGAGCCCTATTTTACTTCCATCCCTCTGAGGCTATGAGTTTTCTCCTCCATATCATGTGGTTCTCTGTGGACTGTACTATCCATACCTGGTCTCAGATCTGTCCTGGGATGACAGCTTAGCCCTGCTACTGCTGGCTCTTTCCTCCCCACCTGTTTGCTGGAGCTTCTCCAGATGGAGCCGCAGTGCTCTGAGAACATGGCAACAGACCCTCTGTTGTCCTGACCACAAAAAACACTTTGTTACCAGAACCCACTCTTAGTACTACAAGGCCCTGTCCACCCCATTCCTCCCAGGCAAGGCAGTCAGTGACGGTCTTGCAAAAAGCTTCACTCCACTGGGGAGAGAGGGCTACTGAATGACCTCAGAACTAGCTACCCAGTTAGAGGTGATGGGAAGGTTCTTTCCACTCAGGTCAGAGGGCTGCAAAGTTTTGTGATATCCCCACTTTGCTCTATACCAGTGGTGGTGAACCTATGGCACTCATTCCACAGCTGGCTATTTGTATCATTGAAAGCTCTGAAATGTTCACTATCCCTGCTATATCCTTTTGAAATTTCATTTCAGATCAAGGAAAACGTGGAATGGTGCCTGTGGCCCCCCTGGGTTTGTTCTATCTTTGCATGGAGGCAGGGCATGAATCCAGCTTCCCTTTGTGGCTGAGTGCCTCCTCTGAATCTCTGTTCTCTCCTGTCAGGCAGAATAACCACTACATCCTAGAATATGGCAAAACTGAAGTATGCTCCCGGATAGAAAGCAGTAATCTCAGGGCCTGGCAGCTGCATAAATGGCAATTCTCCCTTCTTAGGCATCTTATGTTCCCCAGTTACCTCTCCATGACTGATGGTCCCTTCCTGTGTGACTGGTCACAGGTGTTTGAATTCTTTTTTTTTTTTTTGGAACCGGGGATCAAACTCGGGTCCTTGCACTTGCAAGGCAGGCTGTGGAACCAAGGTGTTTGAATTTTAAGAGCAGAGGAGTGGCTGTGCCTTCTGACCAAACCAAGGGAAACATTACTGCTGCAGTAGATTTTGGTTTTGTTTTTGAGACAGGCTGTCATTTGGAGTTCTGGTTTGAACTAAAGTATGTAGCCCAGCCTGGCCTTGAACTTGTGGCAGTCCTCTTGTCTCAGCCTCTCAAGTGCTAGGATTATAGACATGTACCACTGTACCTGGCTTTGCAGTAGATTTTTGAAACAATGTATTTTCTGGGTAGGATACAGGAGTAGAAACACTACCACATAGGGAATCAAGCGGCCCGAGTTCTAGTCCCAGCTTGACTGCTCATTTATTGAGGGACACTCAATAAATTCTCCCACAAGTGCAGACTGGTGCAACCACTGCGGAAGTCAGTATGGAGATACCTCAAAGAACTAGGACTAGAGGTCCCATTTGACCCAGCTATTCCCCTGCTGGGTATCTTCCCAAAAGAATTAAAAGAATCATACCACAGTGATATATGTGCACTCATGTTCATAGCGGCACAGTTTGTAATAGCTAAAACTTGGAAGCAGCCCAGCTGCCCATCAACTGGAGACTGGATAAAGAAGATATGGTTTTTTTTTATAAAATGGAGTACTACTCAGCCATAAAGAATGAAAAACTAGAGTCATTTATAGCTAAATGGATGCATATCGAGGCCATACTCTTAAGTGAAATAAATAGGACACACATGTGTAAATACTGAATAGTTTCTCTAGTATGAGAAACTGATAGTGTAAACAAGGGTTAAAATGATTAAAATGAATAATTGATAATTTGAAATAGGAAAAAAGGTCCAAAGACGAAGGAGTGAAGGGAGGGGGAGGGGAAAGGAAGAAAGGGAAAGGAAAAATTATGAGAAAAGAAAAAAACATGGAAATGAAATCTATGTAAATAGGGAAGGGGGGTTGAAGGGCGCACAGGTAATGGGGAAAAAGATAAGAACCAAGATGCATCATGTACAGGTAACAAGCACCCAATGATAAATGTAAATGAATTGTATACCTAAAATGTACCAATAAAATGTACCAATAAAATTAATTTAAAATAAAAATTAAAAAATTCTCCCAGTTTCTAGTACTGGCACCAAGCATGTAGCTCCCTCTAAATTGTCCATATGCTTTGGATTCTGGACCTTCTTGAATGTTTTTTTCCCCCCTGGAAAGGACTGAAGAAGCAGAGGGCATTTTGGATCCCCAGGAATCTGAAAAGTTAAACTTTAATGAGAAGTGCACTTGGAGCCCACTACTGACCCAACTCTGGGCAACAGCAGTTCTCGGATCCCTCTCAGGTCAGGAGCTGCCAGAGCCCAGCACCAACAGGAGCAATTGGGCTTCTGTCTGTCTGTCTGTCTGTGTGAGGTTTGTTGCTGGATCACACATTGGGCACCAGTGCTTTGGGGATGGTTGTCTAGGCAACCAGTGATGCTGAAAGCAGGCTACTCAGTGGGGGCCAAGGCTCTGGATGAGTACGAGCAGCTGAAATAGGTCCTTCCCACTTCCAGACCAACCTGCTCTGTGGCTGGGTAGGATTAATCTTGTTCCTATAAATCATGTTCCCCTTACATCCTGCCCTTCTAGGGAAGCTCATGATTTATTGGTACCGTTGGGTTTCTCTTTAAGAAAATACAACTAATAGTCAACTGGAGGGCATCTGGACCAGGAAGAAGCTGCCTGGATTTGCCTCATTTATTCGCTTAAGAAACACTGACTCAGGCATACTGTGCGCCAGGCCCTGTGCTGTATACTGGGCCTGCAGAGTGAACAGACCCAGTCTCCTCCTTCCAAGAATTCTCACTTTGCATGGAGATTCTCGGAGCATGTTTCTCCCAGCCTAGATGGAAGCATCCATACTCCCAGTGGTGGTCTTTGAACAATTCATGGAAAGGATAAGTTAGTAAATTGAATCTTGTCTCAATTTTATCCCCCTCCCCCATATTCTTAAAATTTTGACACAAGCCATAGCTTGTCTACACTAGATTCTGGCATCAGATGTACCTGATTTACTAGCAGCCCATTCATTCAGCTGTTGGAAACTGCATTGTCTCATGCTTCCTAGCTTCAGGAGCTCAGTCCCCAAAATAAATCAGATCTGAATGCCACAGATACAGCCAGCTAGAAAGCAGTACAACCAGTGCTGGATGTGGGAACAAAATTTGGCCTTGCCACCAACTTAGTATGGAGCCTTGAGGAACTCATTTCTCCTCTCTGGGCCTCATTTCTACCGGTTTATAGATGAAGATCTTAGCCTAATAATAACTAATGTTACCACATCTACAGTTTATTGATGGCTTATTATATGCTAGGCACTTTACATGAATTGTATCATTTAATTCTCATGGCCATGCTGTGATAAGTCCTATTAGATCCTCATTTTACAGATGAGGAGACTGAGGCTGAGAGAGTCACTGGCTTATCAGAGATCTCCCTGCCAGTAAGTGGCAAGGAAATCCTTTGTTACCTGGTGGGACCAGGTCAGGGCTGGGGAAGAGGAGCTGTGGGCAACTCTGATAATTCTTTCTTTCTGGCAGGCACAGAGGATGTACGAATTGATGAGAGGACCGTCAGCCCCTTCCTGCAATTGTCAGATGATCGAAGGACCTTGACCTTCAGTGCCAAGAAATCCAAGGCCTGTGCAGATGGCCCAGAGCGCTTTGACCACTGGCCCAATGCCCTGGCTGCCGCCTCTTTCCAGACTGGGCTCCATGCCTGGATGGTGAACGTCCAGAACAGTTGTGCCTATAAAGTAGGTGTGGCCTCAGGCCAGCTGCCCCGCAAGGGCTCTGGCAGTGACTGCCGCCTGGGCCACAACACCTTCTCCTGGGTCTTCTCTCGCTATGATCAGGAGTTCCGCTTCTTGCATAACGGTCAGCACCAGCCCCTGGGGCTGCTTCGGAGCCCGGCCCAACTAGGTGTCCTTCTGGACTTGGAGGCAAGAGAGCTGCTCTTCTATGAGCCAGCCTCTGGCACTGTGCTGTATACCTACCACACGGCCTTCCCCACGCCTCTCTTCCCAGTCTTCGCTGTGGCTGACCAGACCATTTCCATCATCCACTGACCTCTGGCCACAGAAAGGTCAGCTCCATCTCCCTGCCACCCTTTCAGGTCAGGCCACGTTTCCACCCAGTGTCCTTTGCCCGGGTGATGTGTGTGGTGTTTCTAAAGGAAACAGGGCCCACACTCGGTGGGCAGATTTAGGTGCCATGGGGATATGTTTCAGACCTGGGCACAATCTTTAAATGCTGGCCATCTTCAGGGAACTTGCTGCTCCCTGGACCTCCACCTCCCAAATCCACCATGATTCTGCCCCTCTGGCACCCAGCCTGGGTCCTGGGGCATAGTGAGCGTGCAATAATTATTAGGCAAGTCAACAGAGGGATGGGTTTACAGATAGATGACTGGGCAGACATGGTAGTTTCAGAAGCACTTCAGCCCCCTACCCTGAGCATTGTGCATGTGGAAATGGTTTTCTGCAGAGAAGCCTGTGGCTGAAGCTTCTTTATCCTCTCAGTTTAGTGCTTCTCAATCTTTTTCATGACATGCACATAGGGTAAATATTTCTAGCACACAAAGACAACCCAGGAGGGATTTAGAACTATCAGGCTACTCCTGGCTGGAATACTCCGGTCTGCCAGTACTATGTCCTCCTCAGGTCCTTCCCTAGCACTTAGAAGCCCGAGGGCCCTATCTCCAGGTAACCTGGCTGCAGCCCAGCCATGGGCATCTGTCCCAGATGCTGAGGCTGAGTGCCAGCTTTGCCCACCTGAGATAATGGGGTTGAACTTCTTTCCTACTGTGGCTATGTTCCCCACCATGGTCTCTCTGATCTAAAGTGGAGGCCTATGTGAGGGCTTCCAGCCAGAAAGTGCTGAGGAATATCAGCACCAGCCTTAGGGAACATGAAACCTGAACATTATTAAAGGATTTAAGAGACTTACAGATTTCTTCCATGTTGTTAATTGGCTATGTGCTACACAGTGGCCCGTCTTCCTTAACTTCATGGACATGCTCAGAAATAAATGGGTAGTAGCTCAGTGCAGCAGGAAGAGCCAGGAAACCTTACTGGGACCAAGGGCAAGTCCTTTTGTGTTTTCCTCTATAAGGAGAACATCCAAGAATAGTGGTCCTCAAACTTTGTCCAGGAACACTCTTCAGAAGCAGCCTTATCAGGGCTGGAAGTGTTGCTCAGTGGTAGAGTGCTTACCTAGCATGTGTGAGGGCCTGGGTTTGATCCACAGCACTGCAAAAAAAAAAAAAAAATCCCCCCAAAACCCCACACACCTTAACTACAACTTGAGTTCCTGGAGCCAAACGAGATGAGAGACAGAAGCCCCCCCTCCCCTTTCCTTGGTAGTACAAAGCAGCTTGAAAACCACTACTTCATCACGGTCTGGACAAAGGAAGGCTGGCTGGGGTCAGTGGGCATTGAGTGAAATAGTCCCTGATTCAGTGACCAGCACTACTTTGCCTCAGCTATTTGTGGCAATGCAAAAATATGATCCCCTGAATGTCCAGGAGCAAGATGTTGAAGAGAGAGGCTGAAAAATCCCAATCTTTATTTTTGCAGTGCTGGGGTCAAAAGCAGAATTTCCTAGGTAAGCATTCTACCACTGAGCTACACCTCCAGGCCTTTATATGAAATGTCTCTGATTGTTAGGTTTGTTCAACATTTCTTTGAAACACTGGATAGATCAAGGCTATAGGCCTCTGGTTGGCAACATTTTTGATGAGATGATCTCTGAGACCCTCGAATTTCTAAGATCACAGGTCATGACCTCTTCACTGCCTGACACTCAGGAATCACTAATAAGTCATCTGGCTTTGGTGTCAGGCCCAACAAAGACAAACATTATTCGAAGAGATTCTCCAAAGAGATATTCCCTGCCTTTGCCTAGGCATGGCCTCTGCCCAGAAATCTAAGCCAAAGCCAACCTGCTTGGCACCTGAAGGCCCCCAAACCATGCTCCTCCCAATGCACCAACCCAACCCCCCGCAACAGACCAGTCCACAGTTCATGGGCCTGCTGTGGGAATACCCCCCATCCTTCTGCTTCCCCAAATGTCACCCCAGCCCCATCCCCAGCTCAATGTCCTCTCCAGACCCTTCCCTGGCTCTTGCCACCAGAATATACACCACATTTGTGCATGCCGATCTTTTTTTAATTTGGTACTGAGGACTTGAACCCAGAGCTTTCTCACTGAACTACATTCCCAGCCCTTTTTTATACTTAATTTGTGTGTGTGTGTGTGTGTGTGTATGGTACCAGGGATCACACTCAGGACCTTGCACTTGCAAGGCAGGTGAGGCACCACTGAGCTAAATCCCCAGCCCGCCCTTTTTTGGAAACAGAGTCTCACCAAGTCATTAAGTTATCTAGACTGGACTTGAACTTTTGATCCTCCTGCCTCAGTCTCCCAGAGTGCTGGAAGTACAGAGGGGGCAACCAAACCTAGCTTTGTCTATGCTTTTAACCTATGGTATCCCCTGTGCCTGACACTGGGCAAGGCACTGAGATATTCAGTAAACACCAAGTAGATGGGTGAGATAGGAGAACAAGTGGAATTTTCAAAACCCAGTTTCTTTTTCAGCTTCCAACTGTTCCCCCCACATCTCTGAGCTCCAGTCCATGGCCCTTGCATTTCTAATCCCTATGTGTCCCTATGACTGGGGTGCCCTTCAAGGCACTGTTCCTGTTCTAGGATCTTCACTGCTGTGTCTCATGTGACATGGGTCCCTCTCTACTTGCAACCTAATGGTCCAGTCAATGGGCTTTTGAGTCAGGCGTGCCTAAATTGGAACCCTAGTTCTCTCAAGTGCCGTGACCACCGGCAAGCTACCTCCATTTGTAAATTGGAGTTATTCCACCTATGGCCACTAGGTAGCTCTGAGGGTTATATATGCAGATAAAGAACTAAAGTACCAAACAAAGGGCAGGCATAAGTCAGCAGAGTTCCTTCCCTTTCAGACTACAGCATGGTAGCAGATAGTGTCCCTACAGCACAACACAGCACCCTGTCAAGCTAAGCTCTGACTTCAGGGAGTCTGAGGGTGAATGAGAGGCCTTAGGACTTAGGCTTCAACCTCTGGGTTTTTTACATAATGGGATTGTGGAATCTCAATGACAGTGCTACTAAGAGGTCAAAAATGCCTGTGTTTTGTTTTCCACTGCTAGTGTTCAAACTCAGGGTTTCACACACACTAAGCAAGCACTCTCCCACTGGGCTATACGCCTACCCCTCAAAAGTGAACCATAGGTGGAAGTGAGGGAGGCTCATGGTAGGAAAGGCCCACAGGTGTGAATGAGAATGAGAGAGCTCAGAGACCTGTGGCTGGTTAGTGGGGCAAGAATCAACGCTCAGCTCTCACTCCTTTATAGTCAGAACAAGTTACATGGCTGCGCAGGGAGGGGCCCAGCCCACACCTGGGAGAAAGAAGGGGCCCCATCAACTTCCTCCCCAGACTCACGGCCCAGGAGCTGAGCCCTGGTCAAGGGCAGGAAGGAGATGAGAGAGTGAGGGGAGAATATGTTCTTTAGGTACAGAATCTCTGATCATGGGGTCCAGAGGCTCTGAACCAACCACCAGGAAACTGTGCATGCCCACAGCCCGAGCCCCCTGGTAATCACAGCGGTAACTGTCCCCAATATGGGCTGCTGAGGCTGGTTCTGTATGAGCAAGCTGCAAGGCCTTGTGGAAAATGCGGGGGTCCGGCTTGGGCCAGCCAGCAGCCTCAGAGGTCAACACAAAGTCGAAATGTTCCCGTAGGCCCAGTCCCACCAGGACATCCTCTAGCCGTCGGTCAAAGTTTGAGATCACTGCCAGCCGCAGACCTCGATTTCGGCACCTCCTCAGGGTGGTCTCAGCCCCCTCCAACACCTGCCAGGTGCAGGGGCTGCTGAAGTCCTCGTACAGCTGGTCAGCAATGGTGGCTACTGCCTGGGGATCCCGGACACCTGCCAGGTGGAAGGTCTGCAGGACCACATCCTGCCACCACTGGCGGGAGGTGAGGCCCTGACTCAGGCCATAGGTGGGGAACCTGTGGTTCTGAGCCTTGTACACTTGCCCAAAGGCTTGTCCCAGGGCTGTGGCCTCCACCTCCAGCCTGTGTGCCTGGGCCTTGGCAGCATATTGCTCCCCGACAGGGTGGCGGAGCCTGATAAGTGTGTCCTTCACATCCCACGTCAGTAGACGGATCGGCAACCGGTGTGCCATGGAGAAAACCAAGTCTGTGCCAGGTCCACAGCGCAAGGAGTTACTGAACAGAACAAGACTACCCTCCCACAATCTAACAGTCTTCTTTTCCCAGGCCTTGTGGGTCAGAGTTGCTGGTTAACAGGAGGCACTTTGGAAACGTCTTCACAGCACAAGATCCTGTAATGTGAAATAGCAGGTGACGAGGTCCTTCCTGATACTGGAGAGACTGGGTCCAAATGCTAGCGCTGCCAACTGTGCGACCCTAGGAGAGTCACTCTGAGTTCCTGACCCGTGTGTAAGAGGAACACAATAACACCAACCTCACAAGATCTTGGGCTAAATAAGATCATTCTTTCACTCCAAAAGAAAATGTCAGAGCTAGATGCTGCCTCCTCACCCACAGCATTTGCTGTTTCTGGAAGCCAGGTTTGGGGGCTCCGCAGCCCAGAATAGCTCACCCTTCCTCCCTTCCTCTGGGGCTCGGTGGAGCAACGTCCGGATAATCCCGCCGTTAACGCAAAATCTCCCCAGCTGCTCTCTGCAGCGTGCCCCGAGGCACGACGGTCCCAGGGACAGTGCTGGGCCCCACTCCTGGGTCCCCTTCCCGGCTGCAGCGTGCTCACTCCCACGGCTCAGCGACAATTCCGGGCCCGGCACCCACCTGGCTCTCAAGAAGCCAACAGCGGAGAAAAGCGCAGCTGCGCACGGCTCGGCAGCTCGGCGGCTCGGCTGGGCGCGCACGCGCTGGGCAGGCTCGGCGTGATCACGGTCTCTATCCCTCCTCCTTTTCTTCGCCCCGCCCTGCGCTCCCCGCCTCCCCTTCTCGCCCTTGTGTGCCCGCAGGCTCTTAACTGCGCCCGCAGCTTCACCCAGCGTGTCACTGTGCACCCCCACGCGTCACTGTGCACCCTCACCATGCTCCGCCCCACCTCTCTCAGGTTCACCGCACCCTGCTTGTTTCCAATCTCCCACCCCGCACCCCTCTATTCCCTTGGATCGGGACTCCTGGAGATTTTCAGGCTAATGTGAAAGTAGAGGATTTGGGACCCCGCCTGACTTGCTGAGTGCTGAGGAAGGACATCAGCAGGGCACTGCCCTTCTCTGATCTGATCTCTACAGAGAAGAAAGTACTTTCAACTGGACATTTGTTGTACCCAAGACAATTTGCTACTGATAGAGTCCTCTGCAGTAACTCAGCTGCTTTTCTTTTTGAGGAAAAAAAAAGACTTTTGTTTTTGCAAAAATAATGCGTGCTGGTGACATATCAGATAATAAAATTTGTTGAGCTGGGTGCGGTGACACATGCCTATAAACCCAGCTACTCTGGAGGTTGACCGAAAGTCCCAGGCCAGCCTTGACAATGTAGTGAGACACTGTCTCAAAATTAAAAAGGGCCGGGGATGTAGCTCAGCGGTTGAGCACTTGCCCGACATGTGCAAGACCCCACCCCCCAAATTTGTTGAGGATGTACTGTATGTCACCTTGAGTTATTTCACTTGACACCATGACCTTCCATCATGGAGAGTTTATGACTTGTATTTTACCATTTCCCGTGAAGGTACTTGAGGTTATTTACTTTAGTTGAGTTTCTATGTTGTAAATACTGTATAACAGTTCTGGGTCAGGTGACATCACGCTGGTATTTTGGAATTAGTGATGCTAAGACAATTTACAGGAACAGAATCAGGGCTAGGATTGGGGCTTGATTTACTCTGTTGATTTACCCCTTGCTGATTTACACAAACAGTGGAGGAAACGTTAATGTTAAACCCAATGATCCTTTGAGTCATGGAGACATTGTACATAGCATAGAAAATTGAGGAGGCCTTTGTTCAGCATTATCACCCTGTTATCTGATTCTTCATGGTCATTGATGTTACTAGGAGACAGCAAGGTTGAAACACTGATGTTCATTGTATCCTTTCATCTTATTGCATGGACTTTCGATGGAAAATGGTTAGGGTTCAAGATTTTAGGAAAAATTGAGGTAAGGGGCATGTGTATGGGAATAAAGTGATTATATGAGAAAAAAAAATAATGCATGCTCATTTTTTAAAAAACTTGAAAAATACCAATGTGTCCAAAGTAAAAGGCCTGAGTAGCTCCTCCAACTGCTAAATCTCATGGATTAAATCTCATGGATTTACTAAATCTCATGGATTTACCAACTGCTTAGTGAGCATGTCTGCCCTGTGCCTGCTCCGTCCTTCATTGAGGGTATGGTGGGAAACAAGAGCTTCCTGCTATGCCCAGCTAATATGGATCCTCACTTTAGTGAAGACAGAAGTTAAAACGAAAACAACAGTATGAATTTACAGGGAAAAGCTGTAATAGGAAAGCAAGAGAAAATAAAGCTCTGACGAAGATCAAGACAGTCCCTTAATAAAGGAAAGTAAGTGAAGGCTCCAGTTTAAGAAACTGAAGGTTGGGCCAGGGATTTAGCTCAATGGTTCCGGTGCTGGTCCCTAGTTTGATCCCTGGTACCAAAAACCCAAAAAAACCTGAAGGTCACAGGTCAGAAGAAGTGGGTCAGACTGCCTCATTCACGAAAGAACGGACACCGGTTTTATGTTGTACTGTGGTTGGCTGTACTGTATTTCAATCCTAGCTCTGGAGGAACCCTCATGACTTGAGAGGCAGTTTGGTTTCCATAGGATGATTGTCATTGTTTGGAGCAGCCTCAGTCATATGAGGCCTGCTGGAATCCAAGGTGATCCTAAGTTTAGGGCAATGAGGATTTCTGAGTGTAGTTGACTGTCCCTGTAAATTTCTTATCCTGGTGTCTTCTGTAGTGAAGAATATTGAGATAGGTTAGGTAAGTTTAGGGCTAATAAACCTCATTTTGCCAACTTGTAGACAGGGATTCCCTAAATGACTAACCTTCTCATACGCAGATCTAAGAAGGATTTGACCCAGAGTTTTACAAAATGAAGATTAAGCTTTGTTCTACTTTTAGTTACATACTGGGTATTTGTAGTCCCAAATGTAGAGTCACAGTTTTTAGCAAAAACTGCTTTTAAGTCCCCAATTTTGCTTCAGAAGAAAACACACATTGTGCTTTTAGTTAGTAAAGGTTAAAGGCTCAAGAGTTTGTCCTCTGTTCCTTGGCACACTCTGTGACACTGCCTGTGCAGAACATGGGAGGAACACAAAATCAAGTCCATAGCAGGATGATTTCAGAGTCTTAAGTATGGAAGCACAGTGGTGGGGGAGGGTGGGGAGGAAAGAAGGCTTCTCCACCTCAAGCAGATTTCTCTTTCCACCCCTCCATCTGACAAAAACAAGACCTGTATTTCAAGGCCTGTTCATTCCATTCCGAACCAACTCCTGCTGGCTGGGCTGAGGCCTGGGAAGGGACAAAGTGCAAGGTCACAAACCTGGTGCCGTGTAAGTTGCAGCATGTGAGAGGCCAGGGCCATGGGCCATAAAAGAATTTATCAATAGTCGAAGAATATAGAAAAGTTAGAGTTTATTGATGTATGTGTGTGTTGTTTTTTTTTGGTACTGGGGATTGAACTCGGGACCTTGCGCTTTCAAGGCAGGCGCGGTAACCACTGAGCTAAATCCCCAGCCCAAGAGTTTACTGATGTACTCAAGAGAGCAGTGGGTCAGTCCAAGAGCGGAGCATGCTGTCAAGGTAAAAGGCTGAGATTGCTATAGGAGTTTGAGGACATGAAAAGGGTTTGGGATGATCGAAATGAGCATTAAGAAGGCTTTCTTTAGGTCTGCTTGCACTGTTTCGCTCACAGAGCACCTGTATTAAGAGTTACACATTAAAGGAGGCAATTTTGTTCTCACACAAGACCCTTAAGGCTCACAGTAAGGACACCTGGGCACATCAACTCCAAGAAAAGGGTCACAGCCCATTGGGAAGAAATAAGTGCGTCATCACATATTTCAAAAGCATGCTTATTCGTCACTTTTTTGTTTGGTTGGTTTTTTTTAGTACTGGGGATTGAACTCGGAACCTTGTACTTGTGAGGCAGGCACCAGAACCACTGAGCTAAACCCCCGGCCCATTATTAGTCACTTTTGTGTGGGGAATGTTATGGTCGAATAGTGGATGCTGGTTTAGAGAAGTCTGAGGGGGCAAGAGTCTAGATTTATTGTAACTGCACTATCAACGTAGATTAACTGTTTCTGCCTATTCAGCCTCCAAATCTGGGGCACCTGAGGGAGAACCTGATTCTCGGGGACTCTCTTACAAAACTGGTTTTGTGTCACAAGCATGATTCCCAGAGTGGAGGTGGGAAGGGCTGACTGGAAGGTCAGAGAGTCACAGAATCCAAGAATGCCTACAGTTGTCCACTTTTCAGGGCCACCTAAAACCTAACCCTTTAGATTCTGGTTCCAACTCTGCCACCCTGACCCTCCATTCAATTCTTTTTTGCTCTATGCTTTGGTCTACCAATATGAATAATGGGAAGATTGGGCAAAATATCTTCCAGCTAAGTCCAGTTTAGCTTTTAAATTGATTTCCAAGATCATTAACTGTGTCTATGGACCCTCAGTGTCTCCATGTTCATTGAGGCATAATACAATAATAACATCAGGATCAAATGAGATCCCATGGAAAAGCTCTTTGAGAAATTTTTTTAAATGATTTTTTTTTCAGATGAGACAATTGAGACCCCCTAAAACATTAGGTTTTGTTCCAGGTCACCTACTCTTTCAACCACTATATGCACGCTTCCAGGAAGAGGGTATTTCCATTTCCACAACATGAATGCACTCCTTGGAGTTGTGATGCTGATGTAGCTGTCTTCTAGGATCTGCTTTTCTTTATCTCTGGGCAACTTTTTCAGCAGAGAAAAAAGAGCCTTGTGTGTCACAGGAAACCCAGTGACAGGTCCCTGACACTCTGGAAGAAGCTTCTTTTTGACTTGCAAGTTCAAACTAAAGTATATTCAATGGATATAGTTTCCTGTCAATCAGATGACAGAAATCCTCTGACTTTATCCCTTAACCTTGTCTGTGTGGGCAATGTCTTGGTGATTGGTTCTGCCATGTTACTACAGTGGATGTGGAAGTAAGTTATTTTTCTTTGGGGAACAGAATTTCCTTTGTGTGTGGGCAGGTTTTTTTGTTTGTTTTGGGGATTTTTTTGGTACAGGGGATTGAACTCAGGACCTTGCACTTGCAAGGCAGGCAGCGGCACCACTGAGCCAAATCCCCAGCCCAAAATTTCCTCTTGTTTTGGTTGTTAATTTGCTTTTCTTTTTTTGAGACAGGGTCTCCCTATGCAGTTCAGCCTGGCCTCAAACTCACAGCTGTCCTCTTGCCAAGTAGCTGGGATTATAGGCATGCACCACCACACCTGGCAAAATTTCCTTTTTTTAAGAATCTCCTATTGAAAGAACAAATAAACCCAAGCTGACCTGGGCCCATGTGTCTGTTTACTTTTAATTTTTCATTTGCTTATTTTTAAACTTTCAATTAAAATACGCCTAGAGAAAAACTGAAAGAAATGTACATGTCCTTGAAGTTTCACACAATGAAAATATCCTTGCAATTGCATCCAGACCAAGAAAATTTCTAGAACCCTAGTGTGTCTGCTTTCACATTTCTTGACAAATGGTATCCACCTATGTACCTTTTTTCTTTCTTTCTTTTCTCTTTTCTTCTTCCTTTTTCTTTTCTTTCTTCTTCCTTTTTCTTTTTCTCTTTCTTCTTTTGTGCTAGGAAATGACCGCAGAGCCTTGTGGGTGCTAGGAAAATGCTCTATCACAGAGCTAAACCCCTAGCCCTATCCCAACTCAAACACTGTAATTTTATTCGTTTAGGAACTGTATATAAACAGAATAAGATAGCATGCACTCTGTTGTGTCGTCTTTCGCTCAAAATTTTGTTGGTAAGATTCATCTGCATTGCCGTGCGTAGTTATAGTTCATTCATTCTCACACCTGTAATAGTCCATTATCTGAAGTGACCACATCTTACTGTTGATGGACAATTGGGTTATCTCCAGTTTGGGGTTATTATATATTACAAAAGGTTAGGAACATATTCTCTCTCTCTCTCTCTCTCTCTCTCTCTCTCTTTTATTGGCCAGGTGTTCCTAACTTGTCCTGGCTGGGCTCAAACTTGAGCTCCTCCTCCCTCAGCCGCCCAAGTGCTGGAATTATAGGGATATAACACCACAACCACAGCCAGCTGGAACATTCTTTTCTTAGGTTGGTCTCCAACCCTGGGCTCAGTGATTCCCCCTTCTCAGCAGCAGCAGGGATTACAGGCATGCATGAACATTGCTGATTAAGTCTCTTGGCAAAAGTTAAGTGTACATTTCTGATGAATACCCAGATGTGAAATCAGGAAGTCAAAAATATGGACATGTTCCCTTTTGTAGATAGGGGCAGTATTGAGAGTTCTAATTGCATACCATTCTCAACAATTAGCATGGCCTTTTTAATTTTAGGTATTGTGATAGATGTACCCTGGTACTTCATTGTGGTTTCTTTTGTTTGTGTATGTTGGGGCTTGAACCCAGAGTCTCATACGTGCTAAGTACACATACTGGGCTACACTTCGAGCCCTGTCATTGTGATTTTATTTATTTTGAGAGTCTTACTGTCAGCCTCAAAGTCATGATTCTCCTGCCTCAGCCTTCTGAGCAGCTGGGACTTCAGGCATATCCCACTATGCTAGGGTGTGATTTTCTTCTTCTTTTTGGTGTGGGACATTAAACCCAAGGTCTTGTACACATTAGACAAGTGCTCTATCACTGAGCTACATCTCCAGCCCTGGCTATGATTTAAATTTTTCCACTCACTAATGAAGATAACACCTTTTCCTATGCACTGGCTAAGTTCTTATTTATGTTATTTAAACAACTACGCAGTTATATCTGTGTTGTATATATTACATGAATAAAGATAAAATATATGAGGCTCAGGTCCCTCTAAAACCAATCCCTAACCCCTACCCCTTCACAAATTCTTTCCCAATTTTGAGCTCTGAGCTTGGAATTGGAAACCTGAATCTCAGCCTTGGTCTTCCCCTGGCTTACTGTGTGATTCTGAACAGGCCCCCTCTATAAAAAGTGTTTACATGATCTCTAAATCCTCTTTACTTTGCTATCCTGACCACCGCTTCTGTGGTTCCAAGAAATGTCATGTGGTAGAGATGACCATTTGCCTGAACATCCAGTCTCTCCATCTTCCTCAGTGGCCAACCTGAGTTTTAGTTGAACACACTATTTTCCACTTCTCTTACACAATAGATGTGGCCATGGGACTAAATTCAGACAACGGTGTGTGGACTAAAATGATGTGTGCAATTTTTGGATCATGCCTGAGTAAAGAAGGGTCATGCCCTCCAGCTGCCCTTCCTTTCTCCTGGTGGCTGAGAGGAGGACCTGATGGGAAATGGAGGCTACCACCATTTATGTGTTTTTTACTGTGTAGTTCAGTCTGGCCTCAAACTCTCGATGATCCTCCTGGCTCAGGCTTTTGAGTGCTGGGGCAGACTGCACCAGGAAGCCCAGGCTGGGGATGTGTTTTGAATGACAGAACAAGCCAGGGGCCAAGACCCTCCCCCACCAATCATGTAGCTGACAAATCAGCCCTGGGTTGCTCAGACAGAAGTTTCTACCTTAGGCTATTCTTAATTCTTATTTTGACTTTTGTTATAGCCACTGATTGTGGATGCTAATATGGAAAATGTCTGGAGAAGGACTTTAGATTGGCTGAGTTGCTTTCTTTGAGGAAGTAACACTTAAAACTGAGAGCTTACCAACATGGAGACAGCCGTAGGGATTTTGGAAAAGTGCTGTGGGTAAAGAAGACCATCGAGCCGAAGGCTCTGAAACCTCGCCAGCCTTGTGTCATGAGGTAGTCCTGATTTTTTGTGGTGTCTCATCGTTCATGCCATTGTTTACAGTGACTGAGGTAGCCATGTAACCAGGGCAAGGCCAGAAACCTCCAGAAATTTGCTCTGTGAGTGATGGGACAGAAAGCGTCTTTCTCTGGGATTATAAATCTTAAGGATCATTTAAATCTAGAGTTAATAGGGATCTCATGTTTCTGTCAAGAGGCAAAAGCCCATGTGAGAATAAAGCCAAGTTGAGGCAAACAGATGAGAGCTATAAAGGGACAGAATCCTCCACGGGAGCCTTTGACCATGGGCCCACCTACCCCTCATCACTATCCAATTTTGAAAACCAGTCGGCTCTTTCTTTCTTTCTTTTCTTTTTTTTTTCTATTGAACTGAGTTTTAGTCACTTGGAACCAGAGCATCCAGAACAGTCCAGAGCCCGGTCTGCTGAGAGTCACAGGCCTTAATGTACACAATTGGCAGAGTTCATGCAGGACAGCTAGCAGGTCAGAGTCCTTCCTTCCCTGTTTGGGGAAATTAGTGTCTTTGCCCTTACGTAGTAAAGCAGCTGATTAAAATGCCTGTTGCGGGGGGAGGGGGGAAGAAGGGGAAGTAAAAAGAATTAAGATGTCTTATGTACATGTACCAACTCCCCATGATGACTAATCATTATTGTATATTGCAAACATGGACTAATAAAAAAATAAATAAAAAGGGGCTGGGGATTTAGCTCAGTGGTTTTGCCGCCTGCTGCACAAGCGCAAGGACCTGAGTTCAATTCCTAGTTCCAAAAATAAATAAATAAAAAGTACACAAGGTAAAAATAAGATATTTGTTGAAAGGAAAAGCTATAGACCAAGTTGGCACATCTGAGAGGGAAATAAGAAAATCAAGTCTCACTAAGAGGCCCTGAATGCTCATCACCCAGCAGTGAAGCCCAGAGATCTAATAATAATGTGCCTTGCCAGATTGTGAAAGCAATCTCCTGCCTAACGATAAAACTACTAACAGCAAGGCCAGGTCACACAGCAGGAGATTATTCCACAAGACTACCCAAACCCTTCCAGCTGAGTCTGTGAAGTGCCTTTGTACATAAAACACTGTGGGCTGAACAATTGGCCTGGCACTTCCTGATTCCGGGGGCACCACTCACACAGAACATAATGCCTGCAGGCAAAAGGGCCCCTTGGTCTTCCCAACCCCCGGATGTTGCAGCTAATTATCACATGACATTACACCCATAGTTTTGCTATTGTTTGTTGGGAGGTGGCATGGCACAGTGATTAAGGGCACAGGCCTTGGAGTTGGGGCCACAAGGGTCCAAATCCCAACTCAGGTTTTCTGCGCACCTGAAGTTCTAACCTGTTGTGCCACAAACTGAGTGGCTTTGAGTGAGTGACATAAATGCTATAGATACATCTTCCTCGTTGCAAATGATCCCATGCTAAGTTTACTATTTCTCCATTATTTTGAACCTACTACTCCTCCTGCAGGTTTTTGTCTCAGTAAACCGCCCCAGGTCAAGCCAAGTTCATCCCTCACATCTATTACCTACTGAACACATCCTAAATCCATTTCCTTCTCTCCATCACCAGTTAGCCCTTCAGTCCAGGGCACCAAAATTTCTCATTTGTACTTTATTAAAATGCTACCAGAATGGTTTTATAAAATGCAAAGTAGATTCATTCCCCTGCTAATATCCTTCGAATGTCTTCCCTTCATCGTTAGGAATAACATCTGAAAATGCCAATGTGGCCTTTAATGCTACTTTAATGTGACCTCTGGATGGTTTGGCCCCAGTCTGTCTCCACTCTTCAGGCTGTCTTCCCTGGGCCTCGTCACATCAGCCTTGTGTTCCTCCAACAAACGCTTCCTTCTGTCTGGAAAGCTCTTGCCCAACCATTTCTTTGCCGGGTTGCTCATTCAAATGTCAGCCCTTTGGGGATTGTATTTTCTAATCCTTCGCAGCAGGTCAGTTTTGCTACTTTGTAACACCTGTTGCCATGTCATTGGTACATTTGCCTCCTGGCTGTCTGGGAGACTTGTTCAAATCAGTGTTCACCATGTGCTCCCTGAAGGTTGTGGACACATTTGTTTGTAACCTTTGGTCCCCTAAAGGGGAATATCTGTCTGCTACCCTGCAAGCCTAGAACACAGCCAGGGTCTATACTTGCTTGGTAGTGATGGATCTGGGATGGCATAGAACAGTGATGGTGAACCTTTTCTTTTAAGATACAAGTGCCCAAAGTGAAACCCAAAACCCACTTATCACAAAGTGCCAACATTGCAATTAAACCTCA